TGTTGTGTGGTTCTCTGAAGAACAGCGGCACGCGGAGGTTTTTGAAGACATGGAAAAAGGAAAACATTTCACGAAGATCAACACTTCAGAATTGCCTTTTTTCCCTTCCCGAGCAAACACTCTGCCAGAACTGCCCCTCGCCAGTAATCTTTGAGTGGACCACAGAGGGGTTACAGCGATCTCATTGGGCACAGAAGCAGCATGTGGGGGGATTTTTAGCTGCTAAGAAAGTCCCCGATGGTGACTAACAGGAATGACGACAATAAGGTGCCAAAAATGCAGCCAAAAATGGATGCTATTAGCCATGTTGGGCAGAGATCAGCTGATGAGGGCGTGCCGACCAAGGAATGACACGCGCCAAGACGCGTCAGGAACAAAAAGCACGTCTTTTTTCAGGCCAATCCTCCGATTGCGCCCGTTGTCGGATCATTTATCTGATTAGATCATCTGATTAGATTGATACAGAATTAATCACCGTTCGGTTTGCAAAACACAGCACTAAATTTTTGCGGGTGTAAACTGGACCTCAGTGTATTATGATATTTTCTAGCGGATTCTCACTGGTTTCTACCACTGGTTTCTAATACCAGAAGTGTTGTCATTTATTACCTCCAGTTTATGTTTCTTGGACAAAGCATTCAATAAATTTGTGATTGTCCCTCAGTGCAGGGCTAATTGACATATTCTGTTGCTAGTATACTCGCTGCTACCTTTTTAACCATAGTGATGAAATACCTGAACTGTCCTCCCTCTACACAATTCTTCTATACAAGAAATTGGATTGTTCTACGACCTGAGAGAAAAAGCCTATTCTTGTTTCATTCTTGGTCTATAGTGGGGTGCAGCATCCCACAAGGAAACTGCAGCCGAAACATGGTACATCTTACATCCGAGAGAAAAACCAACCTAGCGCCGAGATAAGTGAGAACATGGTTTCTAGCCCCAGGGAAAAATCCATGCATTCCGGGTTCTTCAGGACCAGTAGACCACCGGTGCGCTGAACCGTGGGTTTGACGCAGATACAGGGCCTCATTGCTAACTGCAAGGCTGCATCGAGTCCACATGGATTGAATCAGCTTCATCTGAGACTCACAGCTGGAGCATCTTTCCAAATAGATATGAATTATATCATGGAATCACCTCCACAACCCTCATTTATCGGCTCCGGAACATTCTTATCTGATCAAACGCAGGCCCACAAGAATTCCCTTCATCTATCTGATTTGATGCTCTTGCCATGCCAAGTCTTTACGCGAAAAATCTGATAAGCGAGGCATAAGGCTATGAGAGCATTCCCGCTGCAGATTGGCTACCGGCTTGTATAGTGGAGCTTTTCCTCAGGAGAGCCACATGGATCGAATCCTCCTCAGCTCATCGGTCCAGACAAATGTGTCAGTAAAACATGCTCATGGGCTCAAATAATACGCCATGAACGATCTGGATCAGTCCACAATGTTTATGAACATGCCTTATTCATTAAATACCGAGACCCGAGGCGGAGAGAGCGACAGCCGCGTCAAGGTATATCATCCGAGGTGATGGTTTCGTTGGAAGGCAGTACTAGTAATATAAGAAGAATTTCCTCTGGTCGGGTTCCGTATCTGAAGTTTGAGTTTCGTAGTCTCTGATCGACATAGAAAACCAAAATAATGGCAACTGTACGACGATTACAACAAACTCTTTCGCACCTTGAGCCGCCTAAGGCTTCCCAATTATTGTCGATCGTCGAAGGCCCAACCCAACCAGAACTACTAGACATTACTCTCGGTGAACTTCTCACCCTTCAGAGCCTGCAATATGGTGACTACGAGTGTCTCGTTTTCCCTTGGACTGGCGCTCGCTGGACCTACGCCAATCTTAATGATGAAGCGGACCGGGTGGCTCGCGGCCTGCTGGCCATGGGGATTCAAAAGGGCGACCGGATAGGTATTATGGCGGGGAATTGCGAGCAGTACATCTCGGTTTTCTTTGCCGCTGCGCGTGTCGGGGCGATTCTGGTGGTGCTGAACAATACATATACGCCGTCCGAGCTGTACTATGCTCTCGGACACACCGGTATGTACTACGTCTGCAGCGTTCCTGATGATCGATGCGAGATTGACTTGGCGTCTTTGCAGACTGCCGACTCCTGTTCCTGACTCCACGCATCGGCCGCCATTGGCTCGAGGAGGTACTGGCCAAGTTAGGGCCTCGTCCGAAGGAGCAGGGAACCTCGTCGTCGTTGGAGGAAATTATCGTTTTACGAGGGCAGTACGACGGTTTTAGCACATATGAACACGTCATCCAGCGCGGCCTACCGCTTCCCAGCCATGCACTGCAGGACCGAGAAGCGGAGCTCCATTCTACAGATGTCTGCAACCTGCAGTTCACCAGCGGCTCGACGGGGAATCCCAAAGCCGCCATGTTGACACATCAGTACGTTAATAGCACATGGCTGTGACAGTAGCTAACTGGATATAGCAATCTAGTAAACAACTCCCTCTTCATCGGCGACCGGATGAACCTCACCTCGTTCGACACACTCTGTTGCCCGCCGCCACTCTTTCACTGTTTCGGCCTCGTGCTGGGCATGCTCGCGGTCGTCACCCACGGATCAAAAATCGTCTTTCCTAGCGAGACATTCGATCCGACCGCAGTACTGCATGCAGTATCGGACGAGAAATGTACCGCCTTGCATGGCGTGCCGACCATGTTTGAGGCCATCCTGAGCATTCCCAAGCCCCCGAACTTCGATTGCTCGAACCTGCGGACGGGAATTATCGCCGGTGCACCTGTTCCCCGGCCGCTCATGAAACGGTTGTTTAGTGAATTAAATATGACCGAGTATACCAGCAGCTACGGTAGTCAAAGCGCTCTGACCCAGATGTATACAGTCGCTGACAACTACAGGCCTCACCGAAGCCTCACCCACCTGCTTCAACGCCCTGACAACGGACAGCATCGAGCGCCGCTTGACAACCGTCGGAAAGGTCATGCCCCACGCCAAGGCCAAAATCATCAACGCGCAGGGCCACATCGTCCCCGTCGGGCAGCGCGGTGAGCTCTGCATTGCCGGATACCAATTGACAAGGGGGTACTGGAACAACCCGGAGAAGACAGCCGAGGCGCTAGTCACCGACTCGGACGGCGTAACCTGGCTCAAGACAGGAGACGAGGCCATCTTCGACGAGGAAGGATACTGCACCATCACCGGGAGATTCAAGGACATCATCATCCGAGGTATCCACTTTCCCTCTCCTACTGCACAAAAGTGTGATCTAACACACACAGGCGGAGAAAACATCTACCCCCTCGAGATCGAAGAGCGACTAGCCGCACACCCGGCTATCGAGGTAGCCTCCGTGATCGGCATCCCGGACCAGAAGTACGGTGAGGTCGTGGGGGCATTCCTTGCGCTGGCCGCTGACGTGAGCGCGAAACCGTCGGACGAGGAGCTCCGCGCTTGGACGCGGGAGACACTCGGCCGGCACAAGGCACCGCAGTATTTCTTTGTGTTTGGTGAGGAGGGAGTCGACCGCACGATTCCTGTGACGGGCAGCGGGAAGGTTCGGAAGGTGGATTTACGCAGGATTGCGGCGGGTGTTTTGGAGAGGCGGTTGGCGATGGCAATAAAGAAAACATAGACTGGTCTTACTTGTTGGCTAAATGTATATACCCTTAGATTCTTTTATTTATTTCCTTCTTTGAATTAGTTGTACAAAATTTGCCAGATAATAGAAATTATTCCCGGGTAGAAGCGGGTGAGCAGGGCTGAGTCTACAGATTTGGATTTGGGACGAAATGAAAGGGGAAATGCCCCACCGCACAATCAGATTAGATGACCATCTAATCTGATGAAAGTCAACAAAATTAGACATGCCAAATCCTGCTTGAATACAGGAAGTGAGACACTTCTAAATTTTCTTTGATACTACTAATAATTCCCGTCTTCTTGCGATTCGTCTTCAATTACTGTCAAAATCGGAAGGATATAATGCACAGTCGAGCCGATATTCGGATCTGTGGGTCCTCTTTACAGACCGTAGTACATGTCCACAAAACGAGGAAATTAGCCAAGGAATTCTTTCAAAAATTTAGCCCTTGGAGTGGCTACTTTGAGCATAGCACACGCCGGACACTTCTTTGATCTGGCCCTTACCTCGGATGAAGAGACGGGGCTCAAACGAGGCTGACAGTTGCAATCTAATGCGATTGTAATTTTCAAATGTACTCTGACTCCATCGTTGATTGATAACAGAAACAGATTATCCCCACTTAGTCTGTTGCATTGCGACGTCGGACTTGAAGTCTCGGAGGATTCGAATTTGAGTGACTCTCAGACAAATTAGGGATGAGTGGAGATTGGTAGTGGGACTAGCAGATAAATGCCGCATTTCAATAACGCAGATTATGAGTATGCGCAGGACTGTCTCCATTTGCAGAGCTGGTTTTGGGCCTGTCTCACTCCAGATCAAGCCGTGGCCGTGGCACGGCCTGATCAGATAACTTAGTCGGTGATTCGGATCAGATAACAGCTCTGAAGCATACCCTTCAGCCCAGGACTAGCCTACAGCCACCGTACTTTCACCTTTCACACACTCCCTCCTAAGTCCGGCTAAGATTGCGTAACAGTATCCCTGTCCGGCCTTGGCTGTGCCAACACAGACTGACCAAGACAAATTTCACTCATATGATAAGGAGCAGCCGGAAAGTGGGGTGTTGCGTCGCATCCCTGAAGTTGTACAGCTCCCGGCTCGTCTGATTGTGAGGAATGTGTAGTACGGAGTAGAAGATAAACATGCACAGATGAATGAGGAATAAATTTATGCAGAGAAAGTAATCACCAAGACACAAGCATTTGTGAACTAGGACACCAAGTGGCATCCTTTTCTGAGTAAATCTTCGGCTCACAGTGACTGCTGTATTCATTGCAGTTGCTTTACCTAGACTGAGTCCAAAACTTTCTATCTACCACACTCACCTCTACTCCTTCTCATCTGCTCGTTGCGCTCACAAAAAACATGCCATCAAACGAAGGCCTCATCACTCTCGCGCGTCGATTCCGCGTCCTCATCGCAGGCGCCTCCTACGGCGGCCTCAGCGCAGCCCTCACCCTCCTCGACCTCTCCCGCGGCAAGCTCGCCCGCTTCAACTACGACTCTGAGATCAAACCGCCACAGTACCACATCCCAGTAGACATCACCCTGGTAGACGAGAAAGATGGATTCTGTACGCCTTTTGCCCTATACCTCGAAAGCTAAGCTAACAAGTTAGACCATCTAATTGGATCCCCAAGGGCGCTGGCGGACGAGCAATACGCCTCGGATACGTGGACGCGCTTCGGAGACATCAAGGCTCTCCAGTCGCCACATGTGCGCTTTATCCGGGGTAGTGTCAGCGCTATCGACTGCAAGAGCAAGACGGCTACGATCCTCGACTCGGTGAGCAAGACGAGCAGGGAAGAAGGGTATGACTTCTTCATTGCGGGGACAGGGCTGCGGAGGGTATTTCCTACTGTTCCGCAGAGTCGAACGCGGGAGGAGTTTCTGGCGGAGGTGAGGAGGTATACGGCCGATGTGGTGAATGCTCGGCAGGGAGTAGTTGTTGTTGGTGGAGGTATGTTCTCGTCTCATTAGATTAAGCAAGGCTAACGCGAGACAGGCGCCGTTGGAACGGAAATGGCAACGGAAATCAAGCTGCTCTATCCCCAGCTGAATGTTACGCTGATACACTCGCGTGATCGCCTTCTCGCCGCTGAGCCTCTGCCGGACGAGTTCAAGGACCGCGTGGGGGCGGTCATTCGCGAGACAGGCGTTGAGCTCATCCTGGGCCAGCGCGTTGTCAGTACCACCGCGGTAGAGGAGAAGACGGGGCGAGTCTGGAGTCTGACGCTGGCGGACGGCCGCGTGATCAAGGCGGGCCATGTCCTCAGTGCGGTGTCGCGGTGCACGCCTACCTCGTCGTATCTGCCACCGCAGGCCTTGGATGACGAGGGTCACGTTAGGATTCAGCCATCGTATGTTCTTATTTTCCCTTCAGTTGACGATTACTAATGACGCAGTCTGCAATTCCCGTCGACGATCGCGAATGCCAGCCACCACTTTGCCGTCGGCGACCTGGCCGCCTGGTCAGGAATCAAACGCTGCGGTGCGGCGATGCACATGGGCCACTATGCGGGATATAATATCTACCAGTTGATGCTGGCCAAGTGCGTCGCCTCCAAGCCTGCTTTTCAGGAACTGCAGGAGATTCCGCCCATGATCGGGCTTTGCCTGGGTAAGACGGCTGTCTCGTATCACCCGGTGGACGGAGTCAAGGATGGCGAGGATATTCTGGCGTCCATGTTTGGGGATGATATGGCGTACAAAGGTATGTTCCCTCGTGCTGTCCAGGGTGGTGCTAATCTAGTTACAGTGTGCTGGAATTATATGCGGCTGGCGGAGCCATGGGATGCCTAGCTCGTAGTACAAAGCAGGTCTTTGTAGAGGATCGATTGTTCAAGTATAATGGCAAATCACATTAATCATGGCATCATGGTATCATACATTCAATCACTTCTTAAAGTCTCCTTCCTCGACTTGGACTGGAGATCCAGGTACGGCGCTTCCCCAAGGCTACACACTCTGTCTCCAGCGCGCGCTTCGGCATAGTCGTACGTGGCACAGTGCCAGGTCGACCTGTTATCCCAGATGGCCAGATCATTCTTGTTCCATCGGAAACGCACCTGAGCGTCGTGGTTTTGCGTGACCAGCTGTGATCGTCAGTTCTCGAGCACTCCCATAAAATGAACAAACTGCAGCAAAACATACATTAAACAAATACTGAAGCAGCACGTCCGACTCATCCTTGGTCACCCCGTTGATCCTCTTGGTGAATCCCCGGTTGACATACACCGATTTCCACCCAGTCACAGCTATCATCATCAGTCATGCAGTCTACCAGAGCAATAGGGACAACGTACGATTCGTCCGAATAACCGGATGCACAGCCTGCAACTCCTCGCCCACATTCAACGGCGACCCCCTCACTCCCTTCCGCAGAGGATTCCCCAACCGCCTCGCCTCATCATGGAAAAAACTCGCATCGTGCGTCGCCGTCAGCCCCTCAAGGAACGTCGCCATCGCCGGCGACAACCTATCGTACACCTCGTACCCCGACGCCCAGAGGGTATCGCCGCCCGTCGGCGGGAGGGTGTGGATCTTGAGCATGGCGTAGTCGGAGGGGACGCGCTCGAAGCTGATATCCGAGTGCCAGCCAACAGAGGCGAAGCGGCTGGTGTCGCTGAGCTGGTGGGTGAGGCCGCCTCCTTTCTTCTGTTTCTCGCTGCTGATGACGCTGATCTGGTCGCCTAGTTCGCTGCCTTCCTCGGTGAGAGGGTGGACATGTAGCCCAGAGGATTCGGGCTGTATCAGTTTAGCAGCTCGCTGCGGTGTCGCTGGAAATAGGGCTAGCTTACGCATCCGGCGAGAACGGTCAGTTTCTCCATAAACTCGCGCATCTGTTGCGGTGTGACATCTTGGTTACGGAGGAAGACGACGCCCCGTTGGGAGACTGTGCTGTTAGTTCTGGTCGATGCAGCAAATATCCGGGATACGTACTGGTGATTGCGAGATCGCGAATCAAGCGGTCGCGCTCTGGAGATGACAAAATATCAACCACTTGCAGGCCGGTATACTCTCTTCCAATGACCGGTGTCGAGTCCTGATGAGAGAACGAGTCCAGGCTGCCAGAGTACTCCAGCGGCTGGGAGATGGATGGCCTGGCCAGTTCATGGCCTCCTCGGATGGATTCTGCGACAGTGGGCATTCCTGCTTCGTTGTCTACAATATTATCAGTTGATCGTCACAAGTGTCTATTACGTGGGAAATTGAACCTATATATTATCTACTATAGGAAATACCGGCAATCACCGAATGACACCACCACTCCACTGACTCGGTCTCGGGCTATCCATGACCATGCAAACTCACGAATTAGCCGTCTAGACTATCATTCGGTCTTTAATTCCATTTCCCCGCACTGGAGGGGCTCCAATCCATCCAGAGGAAGAGAAAGCAACGGCGCTGTTCTCGGTGGGGCATCGGCGAAATTCTCGGTGCCACCACCCTCTAACTTTGGCTGCTCCGCGAATCAATTGGTCGACTACTCTGCATTACCAGGCGGATTAGGAGCATCTCCTTCCTCTATACGGAGTAGAAAGCTACTCATGCAGCATCTGGGGTACAAGTTATGAGAATCTGGGGAAGACACGCTGCTGCTCAGCCGGTAGCGAGTCAGCTACACATCACAGTATGAGTGCGATGAAGCTGTTGAACAGTTTCTAGTATGACTGAAATAATCAAATCGGACACAAGCCGATTTAAGGTATAAATCCTGATGAAATAACGCCAAGTGGCCCAGTCCAAGCCATTGGTTGGTTGTGCGTATCGGGCTATCGATGATGTGCTCGGCGGGCTTCTTTATGCCATTTTAGCTCACCAGTCACCATCTTAAGAGCATAATATTCAACTCAGATTAGCTTTTAACATACATCCAGCAGTGAGCTAGTACAAGTAGCTCTAAGTAGCTAAACCGTCTATCAACATGTAGAACGATACAAAATATATATACAGCCAACACCACGCCGATCACCCATGCCTCTTCCTTATGAACCATCCCGTACAAAATCAAAATGGAAGACATTGAACAAGGCAAAGTCGCGATAACCTCCCAACCCAAACTCAAAGATGAAGAAGACGACTCCCATTCCTCCAAGTTGTCCGTCGCCGTGGGCCAGTCCCAGCTTGCTGGAGTGACGCCGCCCCACGAGTCCTACGAGGGATACCACCGCTTCGACCCGACGGCATCATGGAGTCCCAAAGAAGAGCGCAGCGTGGTGTTCAAGACGGATTTGATGCTGCTGAGCTGGATTTGCCTCATGGTGCCTCCCCCATCATTTCGTTTCATGGGATGAAAATACTGACGATAACAGTTCTTCGGCCTCCAACTCGACCGCGGCAATCTCTCCAATGCATTAACGGATAACCTCCTGAAAGATCTGAACATGACCACAAACGACTACAATAATGTACCTACTTTACCAATTCCTGCATAGGAAGTATCAGCTGATGATGGTAATGCAGGGCACAACAATCCAACTCGTCTGCTTCCTCGCCGCCGAGTTCCCCGTCCAGCTCCTCACCAAGCGCTTCGGCTTCAAGCGCGTCCTGCCCTGCATGATGATGGCCTGGAGTTTAGTCTCCTGGACGCAAGCATGGATGACCTCCCGGGCTGCATTCTACGTGACTCGTGCGCTGATCGGCGCGTGCGAGGGCGGGTTCATCCCCGGGACGATTCTCTTCGCGACGTATTTCTACAAGACGGGGGAGTTGTCTGTGCGGCTGTCCTTTTTTTGGTCCACACTTAATGTAAGTGTCTCTAGACCCGGTTAATGGCTGTGATGCTAATGGATGTAAGGTTGCACGTATTATCTCCTCGTTGCTGGCGGCGGGAATTCTACAGATGCGCGGTGTCCACGGCCAAACGGGGTGGTTCTGGCTGTTTCTGATTGAGGGATTGTTGACTTTTGCTATTGGGTTGCTTGTATGTACTGTACTGAGCTCCATTGGATGGCAGCGACTAACGAAAGCAGAGCTTCTTCTACCTCCCGCATTCCCCGACGAATACCAAGAGCGTCCTCTACCCTCGTTCATGGTACACCGAGCGCGAGGAAGTCATTATGATTAATGTATGTCAGGTCATTTAGTTTCACTATTGCTACTCGTACTGACAAATGATGAAGCGCCTCCTCCGCGACGACCCCTCCAAAGGCCTCACGCACATCCACGACCGCGCCACCCTCACCGACATCCTTAACGCCTGGAGCGACAAGTCAATGTGGGGGCTGTACCTCATCGGCTTGGTCGCGTATATCCCGCAGTCACCTGTGCAGGCATACCTCTCGCTCACCCTCAAACGCCTCGGCTTCTCTACCTTCGACGCAAACATGCTCTCCATCCCCTCCGCCGCACTGCAGATCATCCTCATGCTGGCGCTGTCCAAGAGCAGCGATTTCTTCAAGGAGCGGACATTCCACTGCTTCATTGGCGAACTGTGGTCGTTGCCGCTGCTGGCGGCGTTGCTCGCTCTGCCAGCGCATGGGTACAATTGGCCGCGGTTCGCCATCACGACCATGATCTCCGGGTATCCGTATTTCCATCCGATTGTCTCGTCCTGGATCTCGGAGAATACGTTCGATGTGAAGAAGAGGGCTATCACGGCGGCGACGTACAACGTGATTGTCCAGGTTGGCTCGGTCATTTCGTCTCGTAAGTTCCGTTGTCTTATGACTTTCGTATGCTCAACAAGGCTAATGAGGCAGAAATCTATCGCGCCGATGACTCGCCCTACTACTACAGGGGCAACAAGGTCCTTATATCCATCTGTGCGCTTTCACTCGTCGTCTTCGTCTCCCAGCGCGAGTTCCTGCGCTATCTTAATCGGCAAAAGGAGAAGAAGTGGAGCGCCATGTCGGCCGAGGAGAAGGTCTTGTACCAGTCGGACCAGGAGGCGAGAGAGAAGGAGGGTAACAAACGTCTAGATTTCCGTTTCAAGTATTGAGATCATTGTACAATTATAATGTCAGGTATATAGCAACGCCTAATAAACAACATCTGATGCCCGGTTCAGGTTCCTACTATCGGTGCGTGCCAGAAAGTCATATCCTCATTCGGTAATGAAGCTTCAAATGATGTGAGGGCGTCATTTCTTGAACACTCCTCGAGAAATTCCTCTTCAGAGATTGTCCACAATGGCAAAGAGGTAAAGAGGGATGCCATCTCCCCCATGTCTTCGGTGATGATCAGGGACTCTGCGGTCCATGCGTTGGAAAAATTATCGGATGTCGAGGCTATTGCAGTGATCGTATCGTCGGGCAAGAAGCAGCCGTCAGAACGATCTGGCTGCGCATCTCCGCCTTCTTGCAATGTGTATGAAGACCCAAAATTGAACCAACCGCTCATTGACATTACCTGACTCGATTCAGATGGTGACTGGTCAAGGAATGCATTCTCGGTGATTGCATGTCTACACGTTGATTCCGATGACTGCTCAAGTTGTGGCCTGCGAGCCGGGGCTTTGAGCGACGCTCCCAATGTGAGTCCACTAATCGATTGCACCTCAGCCATCTTCTTATACAACAATTCAACCAGCTGCTTGTTACCACCACCGCGAAATGTTGACAGAATGGCATGCAAGCGGGCCAAAATTTGGCTTGGACGACTCTCGACGTCCCAAACAGGAGGCCGCGGGAGCATTGCCAGATTCATAACCGCATCCGCCAGCGAATTGGCAATTTCGTACAGCTTCAACTCCTACATACGTCAGCGGCGTTACATAGGAGAAGGAAATCCATACCATCCCCAAGCCATGCGCCTCAATCGCCGGTCTTGGTAACTGAGTTACTATGGCCAGGAGCTCCTTCGCGACCATCACAGGGAATAACGGTGAGAAAAGCGACGTTGGTGAATGTCCGCTTGTCGTGCTGTTTCTTGACAGATTCTTCCACAGGATCAGACGCATCCAATGGCGGGTGACACATAGGTCTGCTTTCTGCACGTCCGATGTATGATCCAGCAGTGCTGACCCGTCCTGCAGCCCATCCTGTAGCAGTTTGAGGAACCTACCGTCCGGTCCCGCTCCGCTCAGGTCATGAGTACCGACGCTCTGGGATTCCAACAGATCAAACATCTTGGACTTTTCGAAGAGGCGAAATAGATTGAGTAGTTTCAGGAATGCGGGTAGGACTTGCGGTTCGTCATGTTCGTCAAGCCCAGGGGTCGAGATGTTAGTTCTGAGTATCACCGGAAGCTGGTGGAGGATACAAACACCCCTACACACCATGTCAGGATAGCCACGGATTATGAGTAGATGGAATTACCGTTCCGTCACGAAAAGCAGCCATAGAATGCGACGGCGGAGTTGCTGTTCCTCTGGACTGAGTCCGATGTAAGAAGCCTCCTGATGTAGGCGCATCATTTGCGCCATGGTAATGGCTTCCCTCAAATAAAGCAACGACTCACTTCCTCCAGATTGTTGGTTCTCATAGTATACATGTAGGAAAAACGAAGTCCGGATATTGTCCAAGCTCGGTCTTGATCTATATCCATACGAATCACGGGCGTGCAGGCACTCGGCTGCGAATGCGTCTGCGGTCGGCGAGTCGCCGGTAGTCAAATCTTCAAGCTTGAGTTGAGCCAGCGTCGCTGCTGCGACGGCTGTCGCCAAGGTATACCTTGGCAGATCCTTCCGTTCTGTATCTTCTTGTAGGACTGAGATGAGGCTTTCGACATTGACGATGGGCCAAACTGGATACATGCGCATGTGGTATACGTAGAGCGGGGGTGCAAGGATGTTGGTCGGTATTCGCAATCTGCTGCAGTCAGATAGGGTCCAGAAATTTGAGAGACGGATGTTTCAATACATACCTTTCAGTTTGATGATCCTGATGGCCAGCCTGTTGGACTGGAACGGAGGTGCATCCGTCATTTTGCGCGTCGAGTCCACGCTGGGTCTGCTCGATGAGATACTTTGTCGTCGAGCGCAAACGCTGCGGACCTCGAGGCTGCTGAACGCGGATGTAGGTGCATTTGATGCGCGAATTGGTACAGGCCTGGCATGGCTGCCCGCCTCCACAACGGATCTTGCGAATCTTGCACCCGTCACAGGCACGTTTGGTCACATTTGTTCGTGAAGCTGGCATGTTGGTAGACACTCAAGGCATCATGACCATCGACCGGTGTACATGTTCATGAGATGAGCAATTACGACCACGACCACGTTTTGGAAAAAAAACGTTGACTGTCGGACGATCCTAAATCTTGATGGTAGTCTAGATGAGTAGAACACCGCGCTGATCTCCTTGTAGACTGCGGGGTAGCCAAGCCGAGGGATGAACTAAAGGTCCCAAGGTACGCTGAACAGACTTGGTAGAATAGTTGAAGAGTGCAAAACCAGCGGTACAAAGTATTGTTTGTTGAAGCCGTCAAATGTGCCCTGGAAAAATTCACAATATTTCTTCAGAAGTCAGCATTGGACAAAGCTTGTCATTATCGACTCGCGATCTTGCATGTTACAAGCCCAAAGTTGCGTTACTTTCTCCACGCGGCACGCCATCGCTAGGCCCACTATGGCGTAGAGGTTCTGGTTGGACCATGAACCGGACATCAAAAGCCTGAGACACGTTCATGCTAGACCCAGAAAGAATCCTGTTGTGGCTGGAGGATAAGAGTATTGAGCATTGAAGGTAGTGATTCGAGGTAGAATGATATAGCTGAGGTACAAAGCTGTGTAAACAGTTGAGTAGGGTGAAGCCCAAGGTTCTGGGAGCGCGAAGCACTGAGATGAACCATTTCTTCCAGTCACCTGACTCATTGATGCCTCAGTCCTCAACTCAAGCAGGTACTCTGTACTTGAATGTCCGGAGTCTCATGCTCACAACTCAACATCTCGTAGACCAGAGGACTGCCCTCATTTCATTTCTAACATAGAGACTACTCCGTAAGTCGTACCCCTTGAACACGTTCCATAGTTCCGTGGTCCGTGGTCCGTGGGTCACTTTCACCAGCTTCAGCACTAACCCAAGATGAAAAGGACCCTCCGAGTATTACTCCGAGAACTCTCCCTACTCCGCACCACCCCCGCGCCTGTAAACAACTACAGCCATGATTGGTGCCGGCTATATTGGCAAAATGCAAATAGTGCTCTTTTTGCAATGCAAACATCATGAGCTTGGAGTCATCCCACCTTCACAAACAATACATTGACCAATTTCCTTTTAAGGTCCCCGACCCGCTTACACTGTGTCGTACGTTTTGCGGCCTGCGAGTTGCGGTAGAAGGCTAGAGCTGCTAGCAAAGACGATAAATTGGCTCGAACGCCCTTTTCTCTTGAAAATCAGTTCAAACGCATACAAGAATTCTTGCTGGACTCAGTCGATTGCTCTCCAGTATGGCGTGGCCTAACAAGAACAAAGATATGCTCTACCGACGAGTAGGCAACTCAGGTCTACATGTCTCCGTCATTGGATTGGGAGGGTGGTTAACGTGAGTGTGTTCTGGTTTCAAGCATACAGCACCTTCTAACATGCGCTTTGACAGATTCGGCGGTCATGTCGATAATGGTAATTGCCCTCGGTGTTTGAATTTCAAGTGCGGCTGTGAGACTGAGACTATCCAGAGATCACCTTCAACTGCATGAAACAAGCATATGACTGCGGAGTCAACTTTTTCGACACAGCAGAGAGGTATGTCCTTCACTCATGTATAATGGCCAAGCTCACAAAGTAGCTATGCAAACGGACAATCCGAAATCGTCATGGGCCAAGCCATCAAGAAATTCGGGTGGAAGCGAAGCGACCTGGTCATCAGCACAAAGGTTCGTCTTCGGGCCAATTGTGAATAACCCAGGCTGACAGATGTAGCTCAACTGGGGCATGGCAAACGGTGAAATCCTAATCAACAATCACGGTCTATCGCGCAAACACATCATCGAAGGCACCCGGGCATCGTTGGAACGTCTGCAGCTCGAATACGTCGATATCATCTACGCTCACCGACCGGACCGTCTGACGCCGATGGAGGAGACAGTGCGCGCTTTCAACCACGTGATCGAGAAGGGCTGGGCTTTCTACTGGGGTACATCCGAGTGGTCGGCAGACGAGATCGCCGAGGCCTGCGGCATCGCCCGGTCGCTAGGCCTCATCGCACCCATTGTTGAGCAGCCGCTTTACAACATGTTGGATAGACGGAAGGTCGAGGGGGAGTTCCAGCGGCTGTACTCGCGCTGCGGGATCGGTCTGACCACCTTCTCCCCACTGAAGATGGGTCTCTTGAGCGGGAAATACAACGATGCGACGACGCAGCCTCCCCCTGGTTCGCGATTCGCCGAGAGCAACGATCGGTTCGCCAACAGCGTCCGGCAGAATTATGGTAATGACGAATGGGCGTCAACTATCAAGAAGATCATCGGTCTGAAGGCAAGCATTCCTCCCTCGCCTTCTAGGACTGCACTAACGCGAAGCAGGAGTTGGCGGATAAACTGGGAGTGAAACTGTCGCAACTGGCGCTGGCATGGTGCCTGAAGAACGAAAACGTGTCCTCGGTCATCACCGGCGCCTCGCGACCGGAGCAAATCGTCGACAACGTCGAAAGCCTGAAGTTGCTCCCGAAGCTCACTCCCGAACTAATGGCCCAGATCGACGAGAATCTGGGCAACAAGCCGGCGCAGGATCCCGCTCGACAGGACTAATCGACAGCTTCATAGCTGATAGACCAATAACGTTGACGTGAGAAATGCACGATGACCATGGTTAGCCTTCATCTGTAGCCTCGGCGTACACGCCTGAATCTCTCCTCTCCAGTAATAATTTCCGCTGCCGTACCCTCTCCCTCTCCATGCCACAAGCTTGGCATTCAATCCCACCCGCATATCCCAGCGCAAACCTCCGACAAGTGATACAAATCACATACAGAATTCCATCGATCCGCACCTGCGCCCCAGGCCCATACCTCGCCTCTCCATCCGTCCCCTTCCGCGGCTGCAGCCCGCACTCCACACAAAACCGCTTCTCCGCGTCCCGACCGAACCTGCCCCGTCGGCGTCGGCGCATCCGATCCGCAAAGCGCGATGCGGGACGCAGACGCAGGCAGTACCGGCATGCGTAGATGTCCTTCGATAGCGCGTAGTCGGTGGTTTCGGCGAGGAGAAGTTGCGCGTGAGTGAGGGGTGGGAGGAGAGAGTACAGATATGCGCATGTTATGCGAAAGTAGACGATGGCGGGGAATGGGAGGTAGGCGCCGATCAGGAGGTGGAGTTCTGGAGGGAGACGGAGGAGAGTTGTTTTTATCTCTTTGTCTCCCATTGTCTCATCGTTGCAATATATATTTTCCCATACTTGTTAGGCAGATGATGGCTCGATGCGAAAAGCGCATTCATGGTGCTCATGAGAAGAGGGGATCAGGAGATTGTCACTGATGGAATCAGAATGCGGGGTTCCTCCTATCAATCGTATCATATCAAACACTAATGCATCAAGATTATTGCTGTATCCATGGTAAAGAGCGAATAACAACCAGATATCTATCGATCTCTATCTATTTTTGATGCTTGCTCATAATTTTTCACAATGTCGCCATACACTAGTTCCATCCCCAACGATCTCCGATAGGACATCCTCACTCGACCCCTGACGCCAGGCTCTTAGGGGTCTTAAGCTTAAATTCGGTGGCAATATACAAGATACCATCTCAGTATCATTCTATACTTCCATCCTGTGACTTCTAGAAAAAACGAAATGAACCCATCAAGATCGATCAACAACACTGACCATCAAGATCGACGGTCAGATATGCCAATAAGCAATTCCGCGATTCGATCTCTTTCCACCCCACTCTGAGGCCCCCTGTGAATGCTCCATTTGTCATCATTGGAAATGCAGCACTTGGGAGGTACATGAGAGTGAGACACATTGACGACTACTTAAGCAGTCTACCTAGCAATTGACAATATTGCGCAAGAACATACTATCAGCACCTCATCCTAACAAATCAACCAACCCATTGACCCAACTCCAACACAACCCATCAAAATGTCTTTCGGAACAGTCTACTCGTACCCCAACAACCCCCGGGTCATGAAGGTACCTCCCCTTCCCACATCCCCCTCTCTGCCTATAGCTAGTAGTAGGAACAAGGTACTAACGAACTAGATCCTCTCCGCCGCCAACCTGAACAACCTCACAATCTCAACCCCCGCGTTCCAAATCGGCACCGACAACCGCACCCCCGAGTTCGTCGCCAAATTCCCTTTCGGCAAAGTCCCCGCTTTCGAAGGCGCGGATGGCACCAAGATCGTTGAATCCGACGCCATCGCGCAGTACGTCGCCGAGAGTGGTCCCGCTGCTGGACAGTTGCTGGGTACCGCGCCCGCCGAGCGCGCCGCCATCCGCCAGTGGATCACCTTCGCCGATGGGGAGATTCAGGGTCCTTTGATTCAGCTGCTTATGCCCCGACTGGGTTACGGGCCGTTTGATGAGGGTGTCGAGAAGAAGAACCTGGACAAGTTGGAGAGGGCATTGGGATACTTGGAGAACCACCTCAGAGGCCGCAACTGGATCGCCACCGAGGAGAAGCTGAGTCTGGCCGATATCAGCGTTGCAGCTGCTCTCTACTGGGGCTTTTCCTGGGTCATTGACCGCGAGATGCGCCAGAAGTACCCCTTCGTCGTCTCTTGGTACGAGAAGACCATCGAGAGCGACGGTGTGAAGCAGGCCTTTGGTGAGAAGAAGTTCATCGAAAAGCGCGAGACTCCCAAGGCTTAAATTGTCATACTTCAGCATAGCGTGATACCACATAGCATCTATCCAAGCAATTGATTTTCGCCTAAGGAACTTGTCCAATGAACTGCCGTAGTAAGTGCATGCTGAATTATGAGGAAAATTAAATTGCCGACCCTAATACTAGACAGCTATTGATATCATCAGGATTCAACTAGAGCGATGTAATGATATGCTTGGAGACAGTCCGTAGGTATCATAGACGAGCCAACACGCTCTTGCTAGAGTTCGCCTTCCCCAAAGTCCTGGCAACATTCCGGCTGGCCCAGTCCGCAATCGCCATGTTCGTCACCATCGGATTCACGCCGCTAGCACTGGGAAAGACAGACGCATCCATGACGTACAGGCCCTGAGTGCCCCAGACCTGACAGTCGGGGCCGACGACGCTCGTCCTGGGGGACGTCCCCATGCGGCAGGTACCCATCTGGTGAGCACTGGCGTACTGTGTGCGTTCGGGGTCGACAGGATTCTTGCGCCGGAGTTCGGCAATCCACGCCTGAAGTGCCGCATTGGTGACGCCCTCGGGCGCATTGGGATCCGATGCTTCCGTGGGACGGATGAATGGCGGCATTTCGCGGCTCGTGGTGTGGAACTCCCTTGCCCCGGATATGTATGCTATCTTTGCCGTCGCAATCAGAGCTTCAACAATGTGCTTCCGGTCATAGGCCGAAACTGTGTAGTCAATCCTGACACGGCCATCTGCAGGGTCAGGGTACACTCGTCCCGCGTCTCGTTCTTTGGTCAGAGTGATGAATCCGCTCATGCGGGGCAACTTGGCCGCCCAGAGCTTGTAATCCAATCCATCTCGCCATGGGAACGTCGGGAGATAAAATGCAGGAAGCATTACAACGTTCTCGATCTTGACTCCGTGACCCTGGCTGTCCTGATCTTCAAACTCGTTGACGACTGTGGTCAACGCAGCACCTTCCCACGGGCGGATTTCCTCGTCAAAGACGGCACATGACAGGACAACTATTGTTGTTAGCAAAAGTCTCGGAGGCAGGCCATATCAATTCAAGACTCACCAGGATGKAGGTAGAGGTTACGCCCGATTTGTGGGTTCTTGAGCCCGCTACGCAGCAGCAAGAGCGGACTGTGCAGTGTTCCACAGGAAACAATGACTTTAGCAGCGTTTATGATAACCTTGCGGCTGGTGCGGTCCAGCCCAGCGGTTCCCAGATAAGAGTCCCTGGAGGTCCAGGTTCCCTCAACTCCAGACGCCACCCGTCCGCCCTTGGTCATCTTAAAAAGAACCTTATCCGCGCGGAACCCTTCAATGAACGTGGCGCCACCCTTGGCAGCATCGGCCAGGAAAGTTTCCCTGGGCCCCTTTTTGCCACAGGAATGGCAGCCCATCGTACAGTATCCGCAATAGTGTCTCGTTCCGCCTGTGTTTTGAGGGACAGGTTGTGCTGCATATCCCAACTTCCGAGCTCCGTCAAGGAGAACACGATTACCATAGTTATGCTCGGTGTAGTCACTACTGACACCCATCCGATCGCAGACACGGTCCAAGGATTGCTGGTATTCATAAGACTCGAAAAACGGCAGCCCATTGCTTGCCCATTCTCGGCGAACGTAACCCTGTGTCTGCAGCGAAGCCGACCAGTTGATAGTGCCGCCTCCGCCCCATGTGGAACCAGCGAGGACGGCAACCGACCCGTCGTCACTCGACGTTGCTCCTCCGCTCTCGAACATACTGACAAAGCCCTCGGTGAAATCCATAGGAAAGTACTTGGTTGGGTAATGGTAGGATTTCTCCACGACTATTACTCTGTACCCAGCCTCGGCTAGATTTTTGGCAGCGACACTACCACCGCAACCGCTCCCTACGATCACAACATCGGTATCTATGGTTTCAGGTTCGTCGCCAGGGGGGAATTGCAGGAACTCGTATTCGAAACCATCCGCAGGTTTGCCGTGGATGGGAACGCGAGGGCAGCCAACGACTGAACGGAGCGTGGGGCTCGCCGAGGTCCAAGTCTTCTTAAAAATGGCCGTGAACGCCCTATAGATGGCACGAAGGGGCTTGATTCGAGAAGTTTCCCAAGCCCTAAGGATCCTCTCGCGGACTTCGAACGGTTGGTCTTGAATGGGGGTGGTCGAGCCAGTCAAAATGAGCGAACCAGCTTTGGAACTAGATTTTGTTACTTGGTCAGTCCACAATGTAAAAGATGGCGAGGCGACGTACTTGAGAGCATTAAGGATGAGATTCATGCCACTTTTCCCTTCTTCGTGAACATAGTCTGCCAAAAGTCGCCGCAGGCCCTCGACGAACTGGGGGTTGGTGGACGCATTCTCTTCCAGATACTGTTCAGCAATCTTTGTGGCGTCTGGGTCGTGGATGTGAGATGCCAGAGTCGAGACCGCATCCTTGAATGTCGATTCAGGCACCACCTTGGTAGAGAGAGACTTAGCAAGTGATGTAGAGCGAATGGAAGGAATTACGGTGTCTGCCAGAGACAACAACGTTTTCCACTGCAAGTCGGAAAAGACTTGCCCTTCAGGAATCGGTGGAAGAGGCACATCCAAGGGAACGTATGTAGTCACAGCCTGCTCAGCCATGATCAACAAGCAGCCAAAGAGTAGTAATAAGTAGATACCTCGAGAACGAGGAATAATTAGGTAGAATAAGCCTGCAGAGAGTAATAGAGGCCAACCAGGACGAGGATCAGGACCGACAAGAACCGACCGCACTTGGATGTGAACGCAGAAATATGAAGAAAGTCAGCGGGGAGCGACGTGATGATAAACAACCAACTGCTGACGCTTTCCTCCTTCAACCAAGGAGGTAGCTGCCTCAGTATAGACGTCTAGGAGTCGTATGTTGCTTGCTCTTTCCTAGGGACGAACTGCCCTGCCCAGAAGAGTAATGCTTGCGAACTAGCCCAAAGCCCGGTCCGGCCCTCCCCTCCAATTATCAGAATTATTATTGGCGATTCCGAGTGGGATGATTCAGGGGCCTGTCAAGGTTTATTGTAGCCTTGTAGGTACGGTTCGCCGTCTCAAACCAAGTCCGCATCGACAGTCCTGTAGAGCCAGAAACCGAGGCAGTGGCCATGATGTTGACTGAGCTTAGGACGCGGTGGGTCAAGGATCCGAGAGTCTAAGTGAGGACTGCGGGGAGGACCAACCCCTCTTGGGCATGCATTTTCCAGGCCAGAGGCCTTACTAACGCCATGGCTCTTTAGAAGACCTATCATTCCCATTGTTTCCATATCAACTGTCAAAATGAAGAGTCTGGAGATGTGCGGGGAAGACGAACGATCGACCGTTCGCTGAGCCGAGATCCATTACCGTTTGGCCGGGGTCTCCATGTGAACACCTGTAGGAAAACGTTTCCTATTTCAAGTAGAGAGGTAGAGAGCTATTGATTCCTCTTTCGATAGTGGCTTTCGTCGACTTGAGGACAATTGATCGATATGGACACGATTGATTCCCTGGATTTTCGGCTTTGAGTTGATGCTCTCAAGCTTCAAAGATGGTTTCGTCATTTGTCTCTCATCTTCAACAAGAAGTCAATCGTGGTCTTTGCTGTCCATTGTCGTCAGAAGGCAGTTTGTCGATCGGTATTAATAGTCTACAATGGTCTGCTATGGGTTTCGTCGAGTGGTTGACGACCATGCGCTTCTGTTCGCATTGAGTCCGTAGAGTACCTAGCGCTGCAACTATGCGACCCATCTAGTAGTGATTCTATAGAGTGAAATCATAATAAGTTACTGACATGATTGATTGAAATATGCTACACTTTAATTGAAAGGGATGGTCCAGCAGGAAGCCATCTCATGCTCCAAGTCCAGGCAAAATCCACGAGCCACGCGCGGTTTGCGGTCGCGCGTGCCTTATCTCAAGCGCCCGTCATCGCTCACCACTGTGACCTCTTCACTCACACAGTTGCTCGCGTCCATTTCCAATGAATAGCTGATTCTATGGATTGAACTGATCTATTCCTGCCAATGCTTCAGGCGTAAGTTGAACACATCCACAACGCTTTCATCTCCAGCCACTAACGCCAATGCACAATTAAGGGGTCACTTCAGTTTTCCGGAACACTTGCATGAAGGTCCTCGATCTTTAGCCTGATACAACTCTGATTGTTAGGTAAACAACGCGCAAGTTGGCCGACCGCACCAATTTCCTAAACAGTGTACCGCGACCACAATCATCCGAGCTGTCGATGAGTACTGGGAGGACATAGAGGTGACCGAACAAGAGGAGGGCACACGAACATGGCCAGCACAGACTCCGACTCGCAACGGCGTTCCCCAGCCAAAATGGCCAAGTCCACGCTGCCGACTGAAAAGGTCTTCTCGATCCAGATCGGGACCGAGCTCTTTCGTCTCTCCGGGGCCTCGATCGCCTCCGATGGTCAGTTGAAGTGATCGCGCCTATAATGACCTCCTGCTAAACGTCCTGGAGCCCCGTCCTATTTCTCCCAGTTCTTCGAAGAACAATTGCGCCAGAACGGAGAGAACGCGACTATCCGGACACTATACATTGACCGAGATCCAGAAACGTTTCGAGAGATTGCCAGACATTTGCAGGGTAGGATGAAACACGACCAGTCTTTCGGAGGTCGGGATTAACGCGTCACAGGCTATCACGTAGAACCGAAAGATGAGTCGCAGTTTGTCAAACTGTTTGCGGATGCCCAATTCTACACCTGTACGGAGTTTCCTTGTGGATAACCCGAAGAACAACAGACTGATCCTCGCAGTACCCCGACTGATCTCCCAGCTATTCGAATCCCAAATCTTCATCCAAATCGGCGAACGCCATTTCCAAATCTCGCGCGACATCTTCTCCGGACCCGGCGACTCCCCCAATTTCTTCTCCCTCGGATTCGCCATCTTCTTCGCCAACCCAAGCGAGATCTTCCCCGGCCTAGACCGTCGCGGTCTGCTGCGCCCACCCGCCATCACCCCCCCACGCGTTACCCACCGCTCCGGCGACGTATTCGCACAGCTCCTCCACCTCCTTCGCGGATACCCCCTCCAGATCAAGAATGAGGAGCATCGCGCCCAGCTCCTCCGGGACTGTCGCTACTTCCACCTTCGCGGCCTAGAACAGAAACTCATTCCGCACCACATCAGCTTTAATCCCATCCGACAACGGTCGGAGATCGTCATCCGCTTAGACGATGTGCGGCCCTCGGGAATCCGCCATGCGCGCGACGACAACCCCAAGCACACCGGCTCCGCAACCCGCGACTGGGTGATGTACGCTCGCCCTTTCGTAGACGAGACGCCGCATGACCTAATCCTGGAAATCGGCGACGAGAGCACTATTCTCGACGCACGCGCCATGCGCGCGGGGTTCCTGAATCTGGCGAAGGCCCGCATGTCGAGCTTGGCCCAGGTGATTGCGAAAACCCTGGGACTTGAGGGGAAAGGCCCCTTATACAGGACTGGGGAATCAGCACACCCCTCTACGGGCGGAGACAGCTTCTCGATCCGACTCGAGCGTGAGGCCGAGCTGATCCTCAACGGGCAGGCTGTGGATTACCTGGATTTTCCAGGCGGGACTGTAGAATCGGCTGAGCGGCCACCTGCGAAGCGGAAGCGAGTAGAGGAGGACCTAGAGTCTGGGAGCCTGGTAGTGAGGAAGGGACAGTGGCGTTTAGTGGTTGAGTCTGACCCCGCGGCGAATGCAGAGTTGGTTTTGATAGCGGTCAAGTTGGATGTTTACACCGAGGAGAGGATGAGGAATCGCTCTAGGGGGTTCTTGGGTTCTTAATGATGCCTGTCTACTTTTCAGCAATGAACAGCTATATACACATTTTTCTAAGCTACTCCCAGAAGTAACCACAGGAGATTTCAATCGGAGAAACCCTCCCACTCGTCCTCATCGCTGTCTCCCGTATCCTCCTCAATACCCTGAGACTCTGGCTCTTCCCTAATAGTACGGTCTACACTTCCCTCATCACGCACAAACCCCGCGACAAAAAACCCACCAAGACCCTCCTCATCATCGGCCCAGCACCGTAAACAGGCCTCCAGCTCTTCGTCAGTCAGATCCACAGCAGCAGCAGGAGCAGTGACCTTCCCATCACCATCCGCGTCACCATATCGGCTCTCCGTCCTGACACCGCGGTGCGGCCAGGCTTTCATGCCTCGGGGTTGCTCCTCTCGGCGCATGACCCTCCAGCCGCGGGAGCGCGCTACATCCGAGGCCAGTACACGAGACACAACCGCCTCATTTTCGATCAGGTGGATGGAGCACGTACTGTACGTGACGCGGGTAGCGGCCGGGAAGCTCAGCGCATGTTCGACAATGCGCGCTTGCAGGTTGGAGAGTTTCGTCAGACGCTCCGGGTCGAGGGTTGCGCTGGCGAACTCGTTTTCATCTGTGGCTGACGTCGAAGTCGGGGCGACGCTTCCAGGCTGAGTCTCCTCCTCGTCTTGTCTGCGTTTGCGCTTCTTCCCCTGCGATTTGCCAGTCTGCGTGGTTGCAGCAGCGGGGAGGGCGAGTTTTGGGACGTCGTCGCGGCCGACGATCCCGCTGCCGGAGCAGCTGGGGTCAAGGAGGAGGCCGGTGACGTTTGCAAAGCGGTCCTCGGTGGGGTCGAGCGCCAGGAAATCCTGGCCCTGGAGAACGGTGACGACATTGTCCGCGCCCGCCGCAGCGACCATTTTCTGCAATGTCTTGGACCGCACCTTGGAAGCATCCATGGAGAAGATGTGGCGGGTGATGTCCTTGCCGGCAGCATGCTTCGCAAGCAACGAAGCCATGTGCGTCGTCTTGTTTCCAGGCGCCGCACAACCATCCAGCAGATCGCCGGGCCATTCCTCACTATCCCCGAGTAACAGGTACGCCGGGAAACACGACGCCTTATCCTGCAGAATGATCTGCCCGTTTTTGTACGCAGGGGATGAGGTGAAGTCCACGCCCGGCGCGACGGCCACCAGATCCGGCACGTGCGGGTCAACGTACAGCTTCGCCTCGTCTTTCTCCCCTAGCTCAGCGAGCGAGTTGACCCTGGTATACGCCTTGAATGTAGACTGCAGCTGCTCCTCCATCGCCGTGCGGAGGTTGTTGATCCGCACCCAGCGCGGATACACGGCCGTCGAAGGAGTCCCGAGCACACCCTGCGCAGCCTGTTTCTCGCGCAGCACGGCAGCCTTCAGATCGGGTATCGAGGCGCATCCGCGGCGCACGCGCGCCTTGGCGAATTCCCCCTTCAGTCGAGTCTTGTGTCTCTCGACCGCCTGACGGAGCGGATGGTTTGCGTTGGCTGCGATGCCATTCTTGGCGAGGAGGTGATCGTGGACGAGCAGTAGGGCAAGTAAAGGTGTGAGCTGGTCAACCACAGGTCTCGGTCAGTCAGCAGGAAATATCTACTACGACAGGCAGAAACTGGTTGTAGCTACCTTGGGCTCTTGTTTGAGGATCCCCGCGGCCTCAATGACCTCTTTGAGAAGGATATCCCATTTCGAGGCCTCGATGACCAGAGCGTAGATTTGCGCCGGGGAGGATTTGAGGTTCCGCGAGCTGTAGATGCGAGATTTGAAGGAACCCCCTGTCGACGAGGGGGCGGTCAGAACCGACACCGCGTCGTAATAGAGAGACATTTATCCGTACGGTGGTAATTGTTTGGTGGAATCATTCCAAGCTGGATATGATGAAAGGAAAATCCAGCTATGTTTGCACTACTTTGTGCTGTTTGCATCCGTTGCTGCCGATAGTGACTGATAAGCTTATCCTCGGTGCTTTCCATCCATACCTCAAGAGTCATTAAGAGGACATTCATTCTGTCAATTGAGGATCTACACTCCCTGCCCTGATTCTTACCACTTTTTCCCCACCTCCGAGGCATAGTACATCAAAATGACCGTCCAACCAACCGCAAAATCATTTACCGTCGCCCTCCAACCCCCTCCGGGACCGAACCTCTCCCTCCCCACGCCCTCCAACCCATCCCCACCAACAAACCCCCCAATCTTCAACGACGCAATGGCCATCCGCCTCAAGGTCTTCGTCGAGGAACAGCACATCTCCGCCTCAGCCGAGATCGACGACGACGACCCCCGCAGCTGGCAATGGGTGATATATGACAGCAGCAACGCCGTCAAAACCCCCATAGCGGTGATTCGGCTCGTCCCGCCGCCGCAGGCACCGCATGAACTCATCACGAACCCCGGTGCGGCCGCGTCATTATTGCCAAAGTACGATACTGCACATGAGCCGTATATCAAGCTGACGAGGGTGGCGGTTTTGAGGGAGTATCGGGGTCTTGGGCTAGGGCAGAGACTCGTTAATGAGGCTTTGGGGTGGGCGAGGGGCCATGGGGAGGAGATCGAGAAGGCGTCTCGACGGGTGGTGGGGAAGGAGTTGAAGTGGAAAGGGTTGGTGTTGGTCCATGCGCAGGTGCAGCTGGAGAAGATGTATGAGCGGTTTGGGTTTGTGACGGATGAGAAGATGGGGAGGTGGGATGAGGAGGGGATTGAGCATATAGGGATGTGGAAGAGGATTGACGTAGAGACTCGTTCATAGATTAACAGCACGATTACGGACGGAAGAGAGAATACCCAGATAGAGAACTTGCATTATTCGTAGTGTAATAGAAAACCATCTATGGTGCCCTGATTGAAAGAAGAAAATAATGTAATAACCACGCCATTCCTTCGTAAGCGCCGTGAACCATGAGAATTGAAATAACAGATCGCCGCTCAGAAAGGAGCATGACGGGGTATCCTGAGTCTGAATAACGAAAAACAAGAGCCCCTTCTATGAGTCGCACGGAAAAACTAGGCGGAGTGAAAAGAAAGGGGACGAAAGGCAAGAACCCGGAATGAAAACCCAGTACTCCGCGCAGATGACCGAAATGATGGGGTCAGAAAGATCTCGCTGAATATCATGAGAACAGATTCAGAGAATGAACCTGAAGATGAGACGCATATGCAGAAATTGTAGGACTGTCGTAGAGGGTAGATCAGTGATCCAATTAAAAGGTGCTCCAGTTCCAGCCGCGGGGGACGCTGGCAGCGATCTCAGTAGCCTGGCCCTGAGGAGTATTCGCAGCTCCGTTCAAAAGATCGTTCTGCTGCGGAGTGTCGGAGGTCGGTGGAGTGTTGGTAGCAGTCTCGGCGGCTTGGTTGTTATCGCTAGTCGTCTCCTGCTGAGCATTCAAGAGAGTCTGGATCTTGTTCAAACGCTCAGTGCGAGCCTCTTCCCAGCGTTGGTAAGCGCTCCAGCACAGATCGCAGGCGCGAGAAGGAACTCCTTCGGGGTGGAAGCGAGCATCTTGATCAAGAGGCACCATATGGGGAGTGTGAGAGGAGCAGAACACATGTCCGCAGTGGCGGCAATGGTGACGACGCAGGAAGAGGCCAAAAGATGAGCGGCAGGTGGGTGAGTCGCAGTTGGGAGAAGCAGCATCCGCCTGTGAGGGAGCATTGTTAATTCTTTTGCTCATTGCTTAACACAAGGACAGTCACAGTAGGACAAGGGACTAGTCACGCCATCGCATGTGATGACGAGCTTGCACGCCATTTCCGAAGAATCTTGCGCGAGTATAAGGGGTATATATCCCACTATATCCCTCGCCAAACTCGAGAAAAGAAAAGAAGAAAAGAAAAAAAATAGAATACTAACCTTCCAGTGTTCTCTAGTGGGAAGACCAGTAACTTGACCAAGGTGCTCCGTCTTCATCCACTCATTTTCAGCAAGCTTGCTGATGGTGTTGCTAAAGTTGCTCTCCATGGTGGAACGACGACTGACGAGCGTACTAGGTTCTTCGTCGTTCAGACTGTCCAGAGAACCGTGCACACTGCGCGGAGGGGTCGGAGGAGAGGACTTCTGAGGGCGTTCGGTAGGACGCAGGGCAGCGGGGACATACAAGGGACCCTTGAGAGGCCGCAACTGGCGACACTGCAAAGGAAGATGCTGTAGACGGGGAGAAGTGGGAGAATTGTTGGCAGGGGTGGCGGAAGCCGAGTTGACAGGAGATGGATGGCCGTAAACGGAGATCTGGTTGGCAGATAGAGGAGAAATAGTGGTGGTAGTGACAACGTGAGTGGCCATGATCCGTAGTTTGTGGCTATTTCGTGTTCGTAAATGTGGGTGATCTCAAACAGAGAGAGTTGTAGAGAAGAGAGAACACTGAAATAATGGCGGAAGAGAGGAGAGGCGAGTAGCAATACGCTTATCAAAAGCAGTGAATACAGGTGGTTTAGGGGTGGTGAATGGTGGTCGCGAGTCTTGTTGAATGGCAGCAGATAAGCATCGCTCACTTTAGAGAGCAGCGACCAGTAAGAATAATGGGAGGTCCAAGCAAGAAGCAGTATATGCAAATCGGAATGATAATTATGATGTATGGGATACAAGGGATATGCAAAATGATAAGCGCTTGATTGATCAAATGCTAGATGGATGGATATAGCAGAAGAATGTACCTTGCTCACAGCTTACTGCACAGGTAAGGAGAAGAAAAGCAAAGCCGTGGTATAGATCTGGGCGAGGCCGAGTACTAATAAGGATATCCCAGGGAACGAGCCAAGTCCCGGATGGAAGAATGGAACAGCCAGAGTAGATGATACTAGCCGGGGAAAGAGGCGACAGTACTCGAAACAGCGGAATGGAGGGACCGCTTTTTGCCATGCTTAGTAGATAGTCTACTCAGTACGTACTCCGTAGTATTTTTATTATTATGATTAGTATTATTAGTACCCCATAGTAGTATTACCATGCTGCCCTGTGGAGGACGCCGAAAAGACACTAACAGGTTAGGTTTGAGGCTAGAAAGTCCGAAGAAACACAGTGGAGCAGGACGAGGCATGGACGATGGAGATKGGGATCGTTCAAAACGAATCCCTGCCACCTTATTTGTTAACAGCTATCTAACTAAAGGAAATGTATGCTAATCATCGTGGGCCGGTTGGACGGACGGGTTTTCTTGCCTTTACAGACTTCCTTCGATACACCGTATAGTATGCCTCGTCTATTACGAAGGCCGAAGTAATAAACTCCAAAGGATCATAATTATGACGGCATTCAACGGATGGTGAACAACGCTGAGTGGCCCATTGAGGATATAAGATTCATGGTGGCATGGTCTACACATGGTTATTATCTCGAAATGATGAAGTCGATAAAGCTATGATGTACATGGTTTTAGCCATCTGCATCATGATCTTGTAGACAATACCTTAGATTGTCGTCTCAAACTCCAATACGGGCGTTTTATGGTGGATGCCGAAAACCAGCCATCGGAAGAAATACTACTGTACTGGTGTCCAGCCGTACTTGATCGAGAACGGCCTTTTACCGAGGCCGTTCTGTTTTGGCTGATTTTCGGGATTTCCTTAGCCTCCTGTAGTCTACCGGATTAATTTCTATTAGTGTTACGGTTTAGCTGCTGACATTCAGCATTCTGCGGGTCCGGAAGATTGTAATCTATCTAAATCATAGTCAAGCTATGAATCCCATTCATGGATAAATAATCATAATTCTTCCTGATGATCTCTGAAATTAATAGTATGGAGTAGATACAGAGTAGATAGAGTCCGGAAGTAGATGGGTGTCCCTTCATTCCTTCTGGGGGAGCTTCGCGTTTCATCCAAATAAGCGGTATGGTAGGAGTCGCCTCAAAGGGGGGTCTCGGTTGGAGGAAAGGCAGCAAATCATCGACGGGATGCGACATTCTGCCGACATGCGCAGGATCAGCGAGCCGGTCAACTGGCTAATTTGCTATCTACCTATCTACCCCGATAGTCTTGCGGTAGAGAGTTCATCCTGGTTGTCCCCTCTCCCTTGCAAATCACTTCGAGTCATAATGACAACTTTAGATGCTGGATATCCAAGCTACTGTTGACCGCTTCTTCTTGATTTGCGTTGCCATCTGTTTGGCCCTTCCGAGGTCTGGTTCGATGCGAGTGGCAAGCCCCGTGAGATATACTTCTCACTTCAAGAGGAGCATGAGCACGACTTCTTGCCCCTTCAGGCAATCCTCAGCGCATCTTCGACTGTCGTCCCCACTGTTACGTTTGTGGATGATGGCGATGATGTTCCATCTCCAAATCTCCAACCCGCCACCGTACAGGCTGAAGTACTCATAGGCTGCTTTGGTGATGCTAGCTCTCTGGTTTTCGTTAGATGGATCCAGATTCCAAAGGACTGCCCGAAGTTAAGACTAAGATGAAAACCGGTTACTCTCATTGGATGCTACTCCAAATTCCACATCCGACGACGGCCCACATTGGCCACCTTGACCGAGATTTTCCTTACCCTGAATGGAGTAGTTCACGAGTAAGTACGGAGTTAGACTGGATCCATATCCATAACCTGAAGAGGTATGTGCATATCAACTGCTCCAGACCCACGATGTCTATCAAAGGTACGACGCATATACTGTCAGTAGCCTCATGACAAACATTGACGAAAGGATGATGCTCAAGGTAGATCCCCCTTTCTTGTTGAATATCCCGTCCTTATCGGTCTGGTTCCCAAACCATAGTCTAGCGGTGAGGTCACGAGCCAGGAATCCATCCTAGTTCCAGCGTACTACGACGGGCTGCTACCCTATCTATTGGGCACTGCTACCTGGCCAATCCGTTGTGGCGTCCAAACCAAACGGTGGAAACCAATCAATCCTGCAAGCGGTATTAGTGGGGCTCTTGGCGTCGCCTTGGAATTGGAGGTTCTCTGATCTTGTTATCGCAGAGCGCTGATTGGCTCAAACATGCAAACACGTTCCCATTGGCCAGTGCCCCCGACTGCACGGACAGGCCCCGAACTGCGGTCTCCGGAATTTCCATCAGCTTGGGCAAACGACTTGGAGATTATGTAACAGATTGGATCAGCCCTCCTGTATTTTGCCGCGAACGGTTAGCGCTTCCATAGGCCCTTGGACTTGGGATTTGGACTATTCGAGAAGAAAGGTGCTCTCTTAGTATTTCTTTCTATCTGATTAGCAAGTCGACTGTGCGACAAGCGACTTTGGCCACCAACCGCGAGTGTTATCATAAAGAACAAAACAAGTTGGGATCCCGAGGGTTGTGGATCGAGTACAGAAGGGCGGGTACTCCGTACCGCGCAGCACACCGCGGCTATGTATCTGTCCAAGTAAAGCATTCCGCTCACCGTTAAAGCCGCTGCAGCTCACATGTCAGACATACTTGACATGCGTTGAAGCCCCTCTCCTTGTTGGTCCAGACTGGCCTAGAGTAGTGCTATTATCAACCAGAGTCTATTAGAGACCCGCTGGTATACTTGGCTGATCGTTTACTATCACGAGACTCCAAAGCCACAAGAATGTATTGCTGGTAGTTGAATCTGAAGATGTCGAGGAGTTCTCTCAATATGGAAATATGTTTTGTGATCCTACTGCTGGTTTCACACCAGGTGATCATGTTGGCTGTCTGCGTGCTGGGCCTAGAAAGGCTGGCTTTGCCCTGTACAGAAGAGAAACACTAGATGTCTGTGTAGGTTAGTTCTTGGTCTTAGCTTAGTTTTCTAAACCATATTTATCCTTCCTATACTACCCTTACCCACTCTCTTTTTCTCTTGTCCCCATTCCTATATGCCATTTGACTGCCTTCATAGTCATCCTACAGATGCTTAAGTGCAGAAGACCATATAAATTAGAGGCCGCTATAGACCGAGACCGCCACTAGTCACAAACGACCAATAGTTTATCTTGAATATTAGTATAAGTAGTCATGGACCAGTTAGTAGTTATTACTGTTAGTAATAGTTAGATAAAGTTTGTCTAAATATTTTGAAATAAGGGAGTAGTGCTTTATCAACTTGATGACATATTCTGCTGCGGCTGCTGCTGAGATATGGACGTCGTTTTATTTGTGTTTTCATACCTGGGAATTTTTGGTGTCTTGATCTCGTTCAGTATCATATATTGAAAGTGACCTTGCTGAGTCTCGCCTCGTCTGAGAAGTCATGGCGGGTATGACTCCAGTAGTGAGCAGGCGCTCTTTGCTGAGGGCGGTGCCTTCAGGCTTCGTCAGGCTTTTCCCATTAGGTAAGAACTATAAATTATTTTAAAGCCTAGAGAATCTTTAGTTTCTTCATGACTACTAGTTCCTAGGCTAAGTGCTATCGAAGAGGCGTACCAGCCGCACCATTCATTGGGCCATACATGCTAGGTTAACACATTACTGTGTCATTGGATGAAGATAATATTAGTACATCAACCGCTAAATCAAGTCAAGTAATACAATCACAACGCCAGCTCCCTATTATACACTGTTTAAAAAAGACCAAACCTCAATACCAGAATGGGAGTTGTCTGTCTGGCGGGCCTCAGATCGCACCAAGCAGATGATGCTGCCCCCTTAGGAATGCCACATCCTCACTCAGAGCTGCATTCCGATCCTCGAGATTTTGAATACACTTTATAGCATTGGTGAGGATTTCGCACTTTTTCATCGAGCACGGCCTGTTGTTGGAGACCTTTTGTTTGTTCCCACAACTAGTTATGACCTTTTCTAGGGTGCTGAACTTGGCATTCATGTTGTTGCGGTACCGCTTCTCAATGATATTATGGGATGCTCGTTTGGCAGCTTTGCGGCCGTTGATCGTTGGAGAATCAGCAGATGAGATACCACTTCTCTTGAGAGCAGGAGTTGGTGAGGGCGATGGAGATAGCACGCCAGTGATCAGAGAAAGATCTTCTTGTGAAATGGTTCTAGGGCTTGGCCGCTGTGGACTTTTGTTATGGAGTTTATGTTTGGTATTGGCTATGTCACTCGCGGAATCAGTTGAAGTGCTTGGAGCAGTAGTGTCTGAGGCTGAATTATCAGAATAGGCTGGATCTGACAGTTGCGCGCAACGAGTTGGTGGCCACAGTTGGGTCTTGCCTTTGACCTCCTATATCATATCACAGGTTAGAAGGGAAGAAAAGATGGACTGGATTAAGTGGATAGCTTACAGAAGGCGGGGAATCAGAAGAGACTGTAGTTTCCCTAAATTCGCCGATATAATTAGGGAACTTGACATTTCCAGGCGGTCCTGGTATGTCTTCAGGGCAGATATCTTCTGGGTCCAGTACCATATTGCTGGTGGAGTCTGGGGGAATAGTCTCTGGTAGCATGCTCCTCAGTTGAAACGCATCAATGGTAACATTGTCATCCTGAGGAGCTGGTAGTATGTCGGGATATGTAGCTATACCAGAGCTCTGCTGGAAGCAAATGTTACTGTTGTTTTGAAGAGGCCACGACATTGAAGCCCTGGGTTGGCTGTAATAATTCATCTTGATGGCAGTAGGCAATAGCTTCCACAATAGAATGGAGCTATTATTCTGGCTCACATGTTTGTAGCTGTAGACAGAAAGGCTGATCTATAATGATTTCTTGAGCTTGGATAGGGAAGAGAACATAGCTCCATGGCTGTGGACGATAGCTACATATACCAAAACATTGCCACGGGAGCGATGCTGAGAAATCCTAGCTATTCAGCTACATGACGGCATTGTCGTTAGGCCCACCTGGGGATCGACATGTGCCAGTGATTAACCAGGGATCATGCTGAATGCTAACCAATAGTTCTCCAGCAACATCAAAAGGTAGGGCGTGGAAGAACAGATGGTCGACGCTTTGACATTGCTGCTGAACAGGAAGGATCCCTAAGCTCCCAGGGTTAAGGGAAAGCTATGTCATGGATGACCAAATCGGACTGGTAAGTGCCATTCTAAGTTCGAGTCTATCTTAAACATTATTTTAGAGTTTCCAAGGAGCTATAGCTCCCATTTAGTCCTACCCGGCCAGCTAAGAATTAGGGAACGCCTTTTACTACTCACACGTTCAGGTTCCCGTTTCCAAACATGAAAGGCTGACTCGTCCTCTACACTACTAAGCATGTATCGCGACGAGACTTCTGTGAAATCATCTCTCAACCTTCAGAAGAGGAATGTATCCCGCCTGGAAAGTCTATCCACGCCTACAGTTGTCGCCCCATGGACCTAATGGCCAGCACCAAGACTAGCAGCTACGTAATATCATCGATCGAGAGATCTACCAACCATCATACTCCCAGCAGCGGCATCTATATCAATCTCCACCCTTGAGGCTCACATGTCGTGCCTAGACCTTGTCAATCGACACACCTAGATTGKCCAGGTGGAGTTTGCCAGAGCGGCCATCTGACTTCAATCCCAGTGTCTGTCAAATCAGACTGGTGGAGGATGTCATCAAGGGCTTGGCGATCATTTTTGACATCTGTCTTGGCATTACGGGGAGAGCACCCGAGCCAAAGTGAACCGAATGATGGTTCAAGCGAACTTGTCAGAGGATGGAACGATTGACACTGTCAGTGGTCTCTCAGTCGCAATAACACTGACTAAGCTGACCTTGCAGTTCGTTGCCCATGTGATTCTGGTTCTTTGGTTCAATCTTGGCAACTGTCAGATAAGGAGCTCTGCGATAAGGTTGAGCCTTTCCATAGATTGGGGATCAGCAACGTTGGATTTCCATGGGTGTATACATGCGCCTAACCAATTATGGCAGGAAAGTTCAACCATCCAATAAATTATCGACCAGACTGTCAGTAGAGCTCCGACCAATGAGACTCAAGCATCCCGGCCCAAGGTCGTCCTTGAATGAACCTACTGGAGTCGTCCAGTTACCATAGGGCATTATGACTCAGATACTGGTTGGTTGGATGGAGTCGTTCACCGACAAACTTGTAGTGAGGAAGAGAGCAAGGGGTCGGAGCCGAGAGAATCGCTGTGAACTGTGGTCCAGGACTCCAGCTTCCTTAACAATCCTCATCAGAATCAGTCATCCAGCGATTTTCAATCACCTTCTGAAAGGACCTCATTCTATCGGATGACTGGACAGTGTACCATCTGAACCCGTCCGACTCTGAAGGGATCGACGGCCTACCCTACTCAGGGTCCTGAAAATGGTTCAGTGCGATGATAATACATGCATACATGCTTGCCTAGGTTTTCCTCGATGCGGCTTATTCAGTTGAGACTTATATAGAGGTATAATCGACTAACATACCCAATGTTGCAAGGCCCAGACAAATAAGGACAAGTGACAGCCCAGGACCCTAAAAGTCGCTTTAGCTTAAAACCACTGGAGAACGCAGCTGTCAAAAAGCTACCATGGATAGGACGAACCTTCTTTGTAATGACAAGAATGTTTGGAGGTTGTTCAAGCCACCATTTAGAGAATGACACTCACACTTTCTCCCTTGAAGTGGTAGGACATACTTCGGTGACAAATAACTTAAAAGCTTTGACCAATGCATCTACTTCGGTGACATAACTTAAAAGCTTGCTTGACCAATGCATCTTCATGTTCTGGACCCTTGCGAGAGGTAGGTACCTATTGTACGGAGCTCCCGGCCATCCTATTATCTTTTACTTTTACTTTTTCTCTTTCCTCGGAGAACCAGCTTTCTGTTAGGAACAGCATATCTTTCAGCATACCCGATTGTAGCATTCTATGAATCATTAAGAGGAGCTCCTGTCTCTTTAGGTTAGATATGGAATGATGATTATCTAACTTGTACCCGGGAAAGCTATTTGACAGCGTACTTTTGGATAATTCCTTCTCCAGCTCAGGTTTAAAAACCCTGTAAGTTCTCTGCATTGAAACACTAGTCTACTAGTTAAGCCGACTATAAGCCTCTATGAACTGTGTTTTTCTTAAATATAATATTCTCGTGTTTTCACCTCAAGCAGCATGACCTGGGATTTCAGCTATCTTGCAAAGAGCGGACTATTCAGCCGCCCTCCAAAGTCGAAACCCAGAGAAGCCGAGAAACATGTCCTCGACGCTGGATCAGCACCTATTCCGATGCACGAAGCCAACCAAGATGGCCCTTTTCACGATGAGCAAGGAGCCCCCATGATTCTACACCATTCCTGGGTCCCGATAAATAAGAACGAGGGCACGGCAAACCTTGCAGAGTCATGGGGGAGTAACGTCTCGTCTTCAGAGAAACAGCAACTCCTCAAAACATACGAGGAATCATTCGATGATTATCGGACGGTCAAGAGGGAGTTGGTGCACTCTTTTTCCAAAGAGGCATGACGATTGTGAAGCCTTCTTGAATGCAAATTCATCCTACGCGACATTCTTGCGCATGGCGCAGCCGTCATCCGTGACCTCGGCAGATTCAGGCCTCAGGATATCTGTAGATCTGAGTCTGGCTGCGTAAGGGTCTGAAAGGTTACGGCTCTCTTCCAATAATGCCCTACCTTCAGCAGGGCTGGGATAAGTCTCTACTTTCTACCTCAGATCATCTTGTGAATGTATGGTTGTACCTAGCTTGTATATACTTGCTCCGCAGTCAGATCACAAGATACACATCGGCATTTGCCGCATTTCTTCATAGCTTAGAAAGGACTGTTAATCAACCTCTCTGCTAAAGCCTAGCAGATTACCATGACATGGGATGCCTCCAGGGGTATAGCAGCATATCTTCAAAGTGGATGGCATGTCTTCTGGTGAGGTCATGTCCATCCACTTAAATGTACGCGTCATTCCACCACTCTTAATCAGCAATGTCCGGCACAATATTTGGGAGCTGGAGCTACTGCATATTCCTTCCCACAGAACCTATCATCTCAAGGCCGCGATTCGCAATCGGCAGAAAATGTTTGCCCCGTTTACAAAGCCTTTCGCCGCCTAAGGTAGCCGAAGGGCTTCGAAATACTATTACTACATAGTGCATTGTCTAAGTTGTGCTACTGCGCCGGCCGTGAGGTTCCCGTAGCTCAGAGGCTTTTTAAGGTGGATTTGAAAGACTGGCTTGGACTGACTCGCGTATGCAAGTCCAGAAAGCTGTGGAGAAAAAAGAAATAGGGTAGCTGGTCTAGCGCTGCTGTCAAGTTCCATTCCATTGATCTAGGCTAGAAGGGTCTACACATTTCTCGGCTCCAGGCCTCTGATCACCAACCAAAGGCCGTCATTGACTTTTTTCGCCATGCTCCATGAAGTGGGTGTCCGCACGTCATGCCAAGCCAATCTTGGCTCGTCATTTTGGCTGCCAGTTGATATTACGGGGCAATGCATCAATGCGTCGCGATCGCGGCGCAACGCCGAATAACAAATTGCTCTTTCACGCTTCGCGCCAGAGAGCAGCGCACCGCGATAATGGTCACAAAGGAATAGTCAGAAGAGTCCAGAGGCAGTGGGATGACTGGTCATCAATATTAGGCCCCATTGGACTAAAGAATAATGGCACGCCCTTCGTCGAGTATCTCAAGACCGACTGCTATGGCGATGCCATCCGCCAATTTAACAATGTCCTTGCAAATCTGGTCAAAAACAAGGCCGGCAAAGGTAAGACTGAAGAGGATGCTCTCGAATGAGCTGTTTGATTATCTTGCCTTTGATGATACTGCTCGCACGCATACATCACAAGAGATCTTGATTCTGCTCTGTGCATCAATATATAACTATATAACCCCGGAAAATGAAAGGCACAGTATTGCCTAGAAAGCAGGCCACTAGATAGAGGCGCACTAATCACTCTACCATATTATAATGATTATTATCTGCCACTGGTAATGCTTGTTCTGCTCAGTCTCAGTAAGATGCTATTTAATAACAATTATACCTCAGAATAGCACACGCCAATCTGCACAACGAGGCTTTTTGCTGATTTAGAATTTCACCGAGGTAAACCTATTTCCGAATGACTATTGAACTAATGCTGTTATTCGGGGATGTAACCATATATGTATACTGTCTATGTTGATCCGCGTATCTAGCTTATTCCATTTCCATTGCATGGCATGGGCTGGAGAGGCCCACCTGATCCACCTGGATTGAATATGGATATCGATACGGATTTAACGATCGAGTTACCCAGTAGTTTATCCATCTCGATACCAACCCTAGGTGCTGACCTTTTCCAGCAGCTACCAATGTGCATAATGCATCCCTGCCCTAGCTGTCAGCTACACTTCTTAGGGCTTCTTCAGAATTGCCGTATCGGGAAGGGATTCCGTAATGGACGAGCTGAAATATGGGTGAAACGTTCGGTGTTTTTCATAGGTTTAGGCGATCACTTAGACTCGGTGGTACGCTCCCGAGGACTGTGATCTGTCTTACGCATTAATGCTCTTCGAAAGCTCATGTAATAAGAATGGTTTACATATTCGCTATAGAGACAACGCTTTAAGAGCATTTATGCTTTACTACTAGTACTCCCTTCCCCGTCAGTGCACGCCTGCCGCTCGCTCTTAAAATGTAAACTGGGGAATGTGAATCGTGCTAACAGTCCAGGTCTTGCCGCCATCGGAAGTCGACATGTCGCCAGTGACGCCCTGGCCCTTGCCGTTGGTGTTCTTGTAGTTGGGATCCGCCTTATCCAGAATAATCTTGGTGTTGATCCAGGCTAGAGAGGTAGCATGTATGTTAGCCAGTGACTTCGAGCAGTGAAGCGCCGTGTAAACTTACAGTGAGCACCGACGGTACCGCAGTCGGATGCGGCGCACTCCACAGCGCTACCCCAGCCCTGGGCATGTGCGTCGCTGGTGGAGAGGGTCGAAACGACCTGTCCGTTCACAGAAACCGTCTGCGTGTAGTTGCGAGTAGAATCATCGTACTTGTCTGAGGAATGTTTAGTCCTGCATATCTAGAGCGTAGGCGGGGATATGTCGCTGTTGCTTACAGTGCATCGTTACGTGGTCGCCAGGCTTGGCGGCGGCGCTCTTGCCCTGCACAGGATACTGCGAATTCTCTAGATAGACTGTGTGTTAGTGCCATGGATGGTTTAGGTAGGGGAATGTGTGTCATGAGAGATGAACGAACCTCCAGTCTTCAGGAGCGTGTAGGCATAGACACTCCATCCACCGGATTGGTACTTGTCGGCGATGGATTGGATCAAGTCTCCGTTGGAGGTGCCCATGCCGACCCAAAGGGAAAGGTCTCCTTTGTTGTTTTCGACAAGGGTGGGCAGGACGAGTGTGGAGGTTGCCTCGCGGATGAAGGAGTCGGAAGCAACAGGACCAGTGCTAAAGGCAGGGCCCATAGCCGCATTCACAGTGGTAAAGGCCCCCGCAGCGAGAGCAGCGGAGAGAAGCTGGCTAATGGAAGGCATCGTAGCAGTAATTTGGAAGTATATGGCTGTAGGTTCAGTGTGGACTGTGTGATTCTGCTCTTGTCCTTGCTCGGAAGAACATCAAAGCCATTTTATACTTCGCCTTTGGTGACTCTGTTGATCTCAGGCGCAGTCCCTGAATCGTAGTCCTCTGACGCGCTCGCCGGATTTGTGTCAGAGTACGAGTACGAATGTACATATCCAGTGGAATTCTCCACCATTTATGACTCGGGTTGTGAGACATCCATCAAGTCGAAACAGCCTGAGACAGGGGGTTGGGAATAAAAACACCAATAGGTGGATTTATGACGCTATACGGAGTAGCTGTCTATCAACTCCCATATTCTGCATAAATGGAACACAAATCTGAACTCTAAGAAAGTTATGTCGAGTGTCCACGGGCCCCTTTCCAAATCAGTTCCGTCTGCATGGTCATTGAGCCGGAGAAGGGAAGCTTGAAGACATAATGTTTCAAATTTCTCCACCAAGCACCTCCCGTGCGGTTAGACTGGATGTATGAGCATATACGGGGTATACTACCTTAAACATACTACAAAGTTGTCAGCTAACACGGCTAGTTAAGCGAGGAGAACAAACAACTCTAACCAACGAGTGCAGGGGACTGGGACTTACTTCCATCAAGATCCCCAGATATTTCCGGTGGTGTTGCTCAAATAGCCATGTCGCCTGCCAAGGTGCATGGCTTGGACCCCTATTCACATCCAACTAGTCATGTAAATCAGCTACGATGTGCGGGCCTACACTGCCGGACGATTCAGAGTTAAGAGTTCTTCGGCCATTATCCGGCAGCTACTCCGTATTAGCGTCTGGGCACGGCACGGTCAGACAGCCGGAATACTCATGGATCATAAATATTTAGAAAGCCTAAGCTTCTCCTCCCTGCAACGATTCAACAAGCTTAGTGGTGGCTTATTATTATGCAGGAGTGCGAACTGCGAAATCTCGAACACTTCAGGGTTCAAGGCACCAAAGGTCTCGGCGGAGAATTCTTCCCAATGCAGCTTAAAATCGACTGCCTTATAGCTCATGACCCCTTAGTCCATTGTTGAGGGTTTCGGCCTTATTGAGGCTGTGTGATATATACTGAGTACAGAGTAGAGTACGAGTCTGCAAACGACGGGCGCCTGGACTTTGGAATATTGTATGACTGAGGTGTAACTTGATACCATTTGATAGATATTTTGTGTTGCATTTGTAGATTGAGCCTGAATCCATTTTCATCCATATCCTACCCCTCTGAAAGAGCGAAAATCAGAAAGGATACCAATGGCAAGGTCAGGTCAATTGTCAGGTGAAAGCTTGTTGCTTTCTTCACCTCTTCAGGAGAGTGAGGCTAGTCGTTCCTGATTTATTAGACAACCTGCGCCCTTCAGAAAACAAATTCAATTAAATTTCAGTTTTAGTGGGCATTGGAGGATGCTGACAACTTGACAAGCTTGACAGGTGGGCTCTTCAAGGCGGGAGGATTCAGGATTCCACGCTTGTTTTGACGGAACCTGGGCGTCTCATCCTCATACACACTGATCCCACCCTCTTTTCAGGTTGTCCTTAATGTGCAAAAAGGATCCATTGATTTAAAAATAAATGCTTCATAGTCACCAGCAAAGCTTAGCAACTACATAACCAGTCGGAAAGAAGCGGATGTCTTCATGATTCAATTGCAGACAAACTTGTGTCTCAGTTGCCTAGATTCATAATTGCTGGTCATACTCGAAACACAAACAACTGAGTCTCGCTCGACTTAGGATGAATTCTCCGGAGAAGTCGAACAAGGAGGTAACCAGTGAACAGCTGGCTAGTTAGCTATTTTCTTGGGTTCATTTACCATCTTCGGGAAACAGGAGGACCCGACCCGGTAAGACAATGTCCAGTTTCAACCGCTCGCTTTGCAAAGAAATATATAATCGTCTAGGTAACATCCAGTTTCTCACGGTCCGTGTCAGGCGCTACCAGCCTGTTTATGGTAATTCTGATGTGAATATTGCGGGATGACTATTACAAACATGGAGATTTTCGCTCCTAGTTCCAAGGACTATTTTATCTCGTCATTTAGCCACGGATCTTTTGCCGTCTTTCTGTCCTCAGGTCGCCATTGAAGCATTTTCCTCATGAAGGCCAAAAACATTTCCTTATTTCTCCCCTCGAGAAACTCTTCCAACGTTTCCAAACTTACTTGTTTCGGTACCTCGACGTCCTGCTTCCATTTCCCTGTGAAGGTTGTTAATAAGCACTCTTTCATTCGCTTGGTGCATCAATGAGAGAGTATACTTACCGTCCTCAGTAAAAAACTCATGACTCCTTTTACCACTTTTGAGCATATCTAAAGGAGGCGGCCCCAGAATGCCAATTACCTCAGCAAGATGTGCACGGGTGGGATACCCTTTCCCATCAGGATCATTGCCATAGAACAGGTGCTTGCCCTCAAACAGATCCCAGATCTGGGTTTACCTACTGGTTAGTAATCTATAACGAGCGTGGCCATGGAGGCAGAGCGTACCATGACGCCAACGTTCCATATATCAACTGGGTAGCTCCATTCAGTTTTCACCATTACTGCTGGCGATCTGTAAACATTGGGCCGTGCGTCATGATTTCTCCTCTCATCTCCTCGTACAGCTGAACCAAAATCACTCAGGACGGCTCGGCCGAATGTCTTTGGCAATTCAAACCGTCGAGAAGCATACACTAGCACGCCGTTGACGAATTTTCGCGGCGAAGGGTTCTCCAGTTCAGCTCTAGTAAAACTGTCAAGGAGAGCTCTGTCCTCTATTTCTTGAAGAATATTATCACCCTTGATGTCTAATCGGGATGTGGATCCGTAAGTGAAGATTTTGAAAGTCCATATATAATGTCTTACCAGTATGGACAAGCTTGCATTCGGTATGGAGATAGTCAAGCGCAAGGAAAACCTGCATGAGACCAGTCTTGAGTAGATCCGTAGTAAATCGATGATTAGGGTTGCCATATAGCAGATCCCTGAAACTCTCCCACATTGGTTTCTGAACAAGGCAGTGATGGCCCCCTCCAGGACGAGGAATGGTGAATATATCTAGTGCTCTTCTCACATGAGCATAGCCAGGATGTGATGGGTTCCCTTTGTCCAGATGCTTATAAACCTGGAACTCTTCCTGGTTGGCTTCATTACGTGTATATACCTTGAGTGTCACATACTGATGACCCCTGGGCACATTAGCCGGTCATGGTATGGAAGGAATGGAACCAGCACCGACGTACTCAAGGTCACGGGCGAGCCATACTGTTGAGGTAACACCAAATCCCAACTTACCAATGACCTGATATTTGGAACTGAAGACATCGCCAATATTGACGGGATAATAATGTCCTTTCTTGAACTCTTCGAAACGTTCCTCGTCAAGTATCTTAGACGCACCGACGGTTTCGAAGCCGCCAGTGGGAAAACACATGGGAGGGGAGGGCGGTCTTGGAAACGTGTTTCTGGCCCATCTGAGGAGGGTAGCCATGATGAGAGCACGAACGGACGCTGATAGGGCTGACAGATGCTATTTCCATAGGTACCTTGCCTGTGTTTATCTTCCAAATACGGTTAGCGCAGTGTTTATATATATATATTAGATTCTCCCATTCCGATGTATACTACGTCATCCACTCAGGCACAGTAACACGAAGACATCATGCCATCTTACAGCTTACCCATCATATTGCATTTTTGCAACACAGAAGAGAGTACTTTACAGTCTCTCCTCTTCTCTAAATTCAGGTTCTTTAGTGGAATCGAAGGATCAAAATGAAGCTAGCAGTCTTCAGCGCCAAATCCTACGACAAGCTCTTCCTCGACAGCGCCCTGGAGAAAGACTACGCATCCTTCTGCGAAATCGTCTATCACTCCTTCGCTCTATCCTCAGAGACTGTCTCACTAGCCAAAGGCAGCGATGCAGTCTGCGCCTTCGTAAACGATACACTGGACGCGCCAGTCCTCAAATCCCTCCACGCATACGGCATTCGTGCAATCCTTCTGCGCTGCGCCGGTTTCAACAATGTCGACCTGAAAGTCGCAGAGGAGCTAGGCCTGTTCGTCGCCAACGTCCCCTCCTACTCCCCCGAAGCCGTAGCCGAATTCGCCGTGGCGCTGATCCAGACTCTGAATCGGAAGACCCACCGTGCGTATAACCGCGTGCGGGAGGGGAACTTCAATCTCGAGGGGTTCCTGGGTCATACGCTGCACAGGAAGACGGTGGGGATCGTGGGTGTTGGGCGCATTGGGCTGGCGCTTGCGAAGATCTTCCATGGGTTTGGGTGCAAGCTGCTGGCGTATGATCCGTTCGAAGGGGAGGAGTTTAGAAAGTACGGCGAGTTCACCGAGTTATCCGAATTGTTGTCGCAGAGCGATGTGGTCAGCCTGCACTGTCCTCTTACGGAGGGTACGCGACATATCATAAATGACGAGACCCTGGCGCAGATGAAAAAGGGCGCTTTGCTGGTGAATACCTCCCGTGGAGGGCTTATCAACACCAAGGCTGCGATCGGGGCGCTCAAATCGGGCCATCTGGGTGGTCTGGCGTTGGACGTGTATGAGGGGGAGGGCTCCCTGTTCTACAATGATCATTCGGCTGAGATTATCCATGACGACACGTTGATGCGACTGATGACGTTTCACAATGTTCTGGTCTGCGGGCATCAGGCCTTTTTCACGGAGGAGGCCCTGAGTGAAATCGCGGGAGTCACGCTGGGCAATCTGCAGGATTTTGTGTTGAAACGGACATGCAAGAACTCGTTGGTACGCGAAGGCCATCTACTGGTTAGGAAAGATACGGAGCCTGTTCGTTTATGAGTTGGGAGGGAGTCGCATCAAGCACTTGGGTATTCGCATTTCGCGTCTATGGCAAGAACCTATTCATAATCAAGCATTATGGCTTCGTTTCTCATTATGTACATTTCATTTACGCAGACAAGCCAGGCTGCGGATATGTGCCAGACCCCTTGGAATGATTCGGCTCCCGTGAATTATCAACGGGACGACCGAGATCAACCACATAAAGCACACAAACCCAAAAGCAGCAATAAGTCGGAGTCTCTCAACCCTCGCCAGAATGGTTATGTCTTTGGCTTTCTCGTAAGCAGCGCACCATCTACCCTGGCCTTCCAGTTGAGCTCGTTTGGCCTGCTCTCTTTCCTCAACCGCATCTGCCATCTGCCAGGCGACCCTGCGGTTAATCTTCTCCCACGTCGTATCTTCCGCATATGCCCGGGCAGCCACAGCCAGGGACGACAGAAGCTGAGAGTCGCGTGAGACCTGCCGCACGAGAGCAACAAACGTCTCAATGTCATTTGGAGGGACCAAGTATCCAGTGTCCTGGTGGCGTACAATATCCGACGGTCCACCCTGGTCCCGTGCGATAACAGGCAGTCCGCTGGCCATCGCCTCGAGCACCACCAACCCGAAAGTCTCGGTAATAGAGCAGTGCAGGAAAAGGTCTCCCGAAGCATATGCACGAGCCAGTCGTTCTCCGGTCAAGAAGCCTGTGAAAACAACATGGTCTTTGACATGATCAAAGAGACGGTGAATTTTCCTTTCGACGTCCGGATTGCGGTTTCCTCCGACAATCAAAAGCTTGAACGGTAGCTTCTCCTCCGCGAGTTTGGCTGCTGCCACGGCCAGGAACTCGAATCCTTTCTCTGGGGCCAGTCGGCACACGCAGACAAGGATGATTTCTCCATTAGGCGCAATCTCCTTCCGATAGGCCTCGTCGCGACGAGAGGGATTGAACAAGGTGGTATCGACGCCTCGTCCCAATTTGACGGCTCGTGTGACGGGCGCGCCGGCCTTCTTGAGATAGTCTAAGATGCATGATGATGGATAGAAGATGGTATGCACAGCGGGATTGCTGAAAAGGAAGCCTTGCACCGTCGCTAGCAACCAAACAGACCACCGACTCAAAAGAGTTGGGAAGATGATTTCACTGTATGCTGACAGGTCGGTTTGGAAGTTCAGCAGCACAACGGGTGGCTTTCGGAGCTGCCGCAGGTACAGGAGTAACTGGAAGCCTAAGGATGCCGGACTTGCCACATAGACAATATCCGGTTGAACGGGCTCCTTGTAGACATCTTTCAGGCGAAACGGGTACACCAACGTCAGATCAGGGTTGTAGGGGAGAGGATAACCTGGCAGTCGCAAATTCGCCACTGGTTGCTCGGGCTGTTGGGCGCCTGCGAATTGAGGTGCCACCACGATCAGGTCGACCTCATTGCGACGAAGGTAGTCGATCAGACTGCCTGTTGTTCGGCTGACTCCGTTCACAGGACCAAGTGATTCGGTGGTCAACAGCACCTTCTTCCCTTTCAGAGACGGAGGAAAGCTCTCTCTATCCATTTATACCTTGATAGAAATATTGCGCAGAGGTCGAGATAATAAGTAATATTCTGTAAAGCAGTAATCCAGTCAGTAACCCAGATCTACGTGGCAGTACCTGCCCGCATAAAAGCCATGATGCGAGCCTGAAGTAACCGAAACCAGTATTTTCATCCAAAGTCAAATGCTGCAATCATCGGCGATCACAGCAGATAAGAAAGTGCTTGTGCCGGATTGCAGCGTTGAAGCCAGAGCGCAATGCTTCGTGTCGGAGGCCGCGGTGGCTGCACGTGGGTCAACTCTTTGTCGCCCTCCGCTGCGAGGCTCTCTCCTCTCCCAACCAGTGGCAGTCCGCGAATCCCCCCGCGTGCACGCAGCAGTCAAGCTCTTTGGGGATCCATGCGATCGACTCAACCGTCCATTACACACTGATGAACCTTTGGTTATTATTGCTTTACATGACCATTTCAAGCGCTAGGAGGATGGCGGCAACGATCACAAGGCACGCGGGGGCCTTTCTGTTTGGCCCCTCGATGGAGGGGGGTTCGATAAGGGTGAAGCCGGGATGTAAAAGTCTATAAACGCTCTGCGCCCGTTTCTGCAGTGAATCTGTGGACATTTCATGATGCTCGAACAGGGAGTCATGGTCGAAATGGTTACAGAAACTCAAGCAGTCGCAATGGATCTTCCGTCGTCCTCTGCAGGAACCTCAGATGCGAGCTCATATGATGGCTCAACGCGCCCTACAACCCCTTCTTCAAGCCCGCTGTTTTGTGCTTCTAGAATGGAGGATCTGGCTCTGTCGCATTTCATGCACTCTCCTGGCTCTGCTTCACTACAAAGCTTTCCGGCCTGGGGTCAGGTGAAGAACATCTGCGTGGTGGGCGCTGGATACGTCGGTATGCTCGTGCTACTGTCTCACTTTCTCAGTTGTACAAAAGACTCATCGTTACAGGGGGCCCAACCGCAGCCGTTCTGGCGCTGTACAACCCGTCGATAGCAGTCGAAGTCTTGGACCGAGACCCTGTTCGCATTCGGAAGTGGAAGTCACCACACCTTCCTGTACATGAACCTGGCTTAATCGACGTCGTCCGAGTGACGAGAGATGGAGCGGAGATTGTCAACAATGAGACTACGCCCCAGGCCAACGCGACGCGCTTGAAGCGGCGCGCAAACCTTTTCTTCACAAGTGACTCGGTGGCAAGCATCTCACGAGCAGATATGATTATGCTTGCAGTCAACACGCCCACCAAGACGTTTGGTCTAGGCGCTGGTCGAGCGACGAATATGGCAGCTATTGATGAAGCTGTGCGGCAGATATCCATCTATGCAAAACCAGGCACAATCATCGTCGAGAAGAGCACAGTTCCTTGTGGTACTGCGCAGCGGATTCGAAACATGGTAAGTACTCATTGACCCCATGTGCCTGCTCTTCATTGGACTCCAATCTGACAATGTATAGTTGGCCACCCTGAGACCCGACGTGCCGTTCGAGGTACTGTCGAACCCCGAATTCCTGTCCGAGGGCTCCGCTATTGAGAACCTCATCTCACCCGATCGTGTCCTCATCGGGTCATCTGGAACACCATCCGGACAGCACGCAGCGCGCACTCTTGCACAGATTTACTCATCCTGGGTGCCGTCGTCGCGCATCCTCGAGGTCAACGCATGGTCGTCAGAACTCGCAAAGCTTGTAGCCAACGCCATGCTCGCCCAAAGGATTAGCAGCATCAACTCTATCAGTGCTATTTGCGAGAAGACAGGAGCTGAGGTCGATCAAGTAGCTCAAGCTATCGGCCTCGATGCCCGAATCGGAGCTCAATTTCTCAAAGCCGGTCTCGGCTTCGGCGGCTCCTGTTTCCGCAAAGATATAGCCAGCTTGACATATCTGGCTGAGTCATTGGGCTTGGAAGATGTGGCTCACTATTGGAGCCAGGTCAATGTGATGAATGAGATGCAACGCAACCGGTTCGCTAGGAAAGCCATCGAGAGATTCGACGGTAACTTGACCGGACGAAAGATCGCCATGCTTGGTTTCGCCTTCAAGAAGAACACCGGCGACACACGAGAGTCCTTAGCAGCCGACGTGATCCGGTTGCTTCTGGAAGAAAAGCCCATGGAGATTGCGATCTTTGATCCCTTCTGCCATGAAAAGGACATCATGCGAGAGGTTGAATCCGTCTGTGGCGCCTTGGACGGAAGGGTAGTCAAAGTCTTTCCCGATCCCTACCAAGCTTGTTCTCAAGCCGACGCTGTCCTCATCATCTCGGACTGTGATCAATTTCGGAATACGTCAACCAAGTCGAAGCCGAACGCTTTTGCGCCGAGGACCGAGGTTAAGGTCGTTGACACTCGTCCGAAAGCCGTAGCATCCAAAGATCCAGAGGAGGACATCTGGTCCTGCAACGGCCTGTCATACCGCTTGTCCCCGCCAGAATCGTGCGAGGACGACTGTGAAGCATGCCGTTCAACAGCCAGCCATCCCACTGCTACCGAGCCTGTCGAATGGGCACGCATAGCATACAACATGAAGGCACCGAAATTGGTCATTGATGGACGCGGGATCCTGGATATCCATGAGATGGAGAAACTCGGTGTCCATGTGGATGCCGTTGGACGTCGACCAGCTGTCATCTCAGCAGGTATTGACCCTTTGGACTGTGACATCTAGCACTGAATTTTCTTCAGGAAGGCTTGTTGCAAATTGATACCCCTCATTATCTTTGGTTTCTTTTGTGGTCGTCCCTCGTTTTGCATGCACCAGCTTCAACACCTATCTCGAGAACATAACATCTAGACTGGGTTTAATTATACTTTGGTGCTTCAGTGTCTGCTATAGAGGCCTAGCAATGATGACTTGGCCATTATTTGTACTCATCCATTTACACTGAGTGACGTTCTGTTCTTACAGCGGCAAATGCCTATATCCAGAGTGGTTACTACAAGCATACCTCCAGCTTTCACAGACGTAAAGTGATGATATACAACAACGCCAAAACAAAGACACATTCAGCCTGAAATCCCCCGGACCCAGCAATGTCAATCACGCATAAGCAGAGAACGATCCATCTATCTCTTCCACCTTCGCAACAGCCCGCTTATACCCTTCCATCACCTGCAATTTGTCCGTGTATTCAGCCAACCTCGGATACCGAACCCGGAGATCAGGCATTTTAATCAAGGACGCGATAACAGGGAAGCTCATCATGATATCCGCAGCAGTCAACTCCTTGCCACAGAGGTACGGGCCGCCTCCCGGCGCGGTCTTCAGCTGGTCCTCGAGGAACTCAAAGTGGGAGGTCAAGTTGGGCGCGACGAACGCCTGCTCCACCTTTGAAGCGACCATGCCCGTCAACGGCTTGATGAAGAACGGGACGGGGGCGTTCCTGATGCCTGTGCTGTGTCAGCCATCACTTACACTCCCATCAAACCAGAGGTTCCGCAGGAAAAGAAACGCACTATCCATCACCAGCTGCATCACCAGAAACGGCATGAAGCTGCCCTCCGTGTAATGCATGTAGTACCGGTACCGCATCCACTCCTCGGTCTCGCCGCCTACCTGATCCTCCTTGCCGGCGACATACCGCTGGGGGACAAGCTTGGTCTCATCGCCCCCGAAATGATCGCAGAGATACTCCATGATCAGCCCGGACTCGGCGAGAACCAGAGGCTTGGGGGACCCGGGGGTCTCGATACTGAGAAGCGGGGATTTGCCTAGCGGGTGGATGTCCTTGAGCTCCTTTGGGGCTAGCATGTCGGCGCCGCGCTTGAAGGTCTTGAGCTCGTAGGTGAGCTGCAGTTCCTCGAGGAGCCAGAGGATGCGCTGGGCGCGGGAATGTTCCAGCCTGTGTTGGCGTGTTAGTTTGTGTTGGTTACGGTATGGTGGGAAGCGTACCAGTAGAGGGTGATTTTGGCGCCTTTGTTTGCGTCTGCCATTTTGCTGTCTGAGTAACTGTATGATTAGGTGTATACAAAGTAATTTGCGTGATGCTGGTCTATGGTAGCTGATCCTAATGACACAATATGGACAAGAACACCGTCAAAAGCTTAGTCGGCAGCAGGAGATACAAGGCTTTATCTTTGATCTACATCTTCTCTCAGGATCCGCGGCACTACGTCTAGACCAGTTTCATGAATAATTGCAAGGTTCGAGCTCGACCTCGGATGAATCCGTCGGCCAAGCACCATCTACCCCGTGAAAATCTTAAAGGCTGGCGTCATTGATGTACGTGTGGGTCAATTCAGATCAATATCGTTAGTACAGATAGCAGTTTTCAGGCCATACAGCTAGCATGAGCCTCTTAAATCAGAGAGTCAGTAGTTGTGCGCTCCCACAACGATGATATTGTCGCACCAATTTCCAGATAATAAGCGGTAGTGTAGGGGGCCTCGGCAGGCCGCAGCAGATGCCAGCGATCTCAGGCCTCAATTCTGCGGTTTGCTGACTCAGCACGCCAAGGTCAGGTGACCGCCCACTTGAACTTCATGGATATCATCACCACCATCAGAGGAGTATCTCGGCCTCGCCTGAAATTGCTGACGTCGCAACCATGGCCGGCCCTAGCAAGTGTAAGTGCTTTTCCCCAGAAGTGACAAACTATGTCAATGCTGATCAATCGCTCCGCAGCCCTGATCCTTGATCCGGCCTTCCAGAAATACTACGGTACATCTCTCCGTCCTACTCCTACCCTCCAGCCCATCAACAAGATAGCGCGAATGCGCCGTTTGATTCCTTGATATCGTGCGCGAGATTCTACTATGCCGACGACTAATGCTCTGCAGAACTCAACGCAAACCGCTACAAGTACTTCCGCTGGACCCCGCGCCATGCCTGGTTGTCGTTTATCTACATGATTGCGATCCCCGGTACATTGGGCTACATTGCCTACAAGACAGATGTATGTCCTTGCGAAACTACAAATCATGGAATGTGAAGAGGGTGCTGGTTGACTGACCCCGAATAGGGCAAATACGAATTCCGCGGGAAGAGGAGAGGCGATACCATTCTCGAATACTAGGTTGTCCGTTGATTTGGGTTGAGTGGAGGTGACCTCTGCAGGATTGTGTTTCTGTGAGGCAGAGAGAATGGAAACGGCGGGTACGAGATTGAGTCGTGCGCCGACCCGCTGGTTTTGTACCTATTACTAGAATATACCGCATCGATTTCGCTTTGTTCAATCATTCCCTCTCGAAGACCCGACCTCCCATTTCTCTGGTCTAATCGGTTACATTCGCAGTTTCTACATGCAGACGTGATGCACGCGTCTTATAATCGAATTGCGTATGAGAAGCAATGGACCCAGCCGTCAATGGATTGGTATCAAGAACATGCACTGCCCGGAACTGTAAATCTGAACTAATTTTCCTACCGTAGACTCCATGTAAACTTTAAAGATACAACTCAGAGCACGCCCTAGTACGGCGCCCACCCCCTTCTCCCAGGTCCCCCACCATAACCGCGCCCTCCTCCCTCCGGTAGCCTCTCCCCCCGCCTCCAGTCACCAGATGGTATCCCTCGATCACCCCTCCCACGACCGGGCCGTCCAAATCCAGGATCACGGAACGCCCTCATGCCTCCTCCAACGGTCCCGCTGACTGGTCCCCGCCCCGTAATAAGCGGCGGAGCAACAGAGCCGTCCTCGAGCGGCGGCAATATCGCGCAATCCACGTAGTCTCCAATCACGAAACGCCAGTCCTGCAGCGTCTTGTCCGCATCATTCCCCTGGAGCCGCAGCGCACGGGGCCCCGTCGCGGCACTGCCTCCATTCTCCTCGTCATTCTCGCCCCGGTAGGGACTGTCCTTTGGTCCAACGACCACACTCCCCATGTCCTTGCTCAGGTAGCGCCCTCGCGCGTCGCCGCCCATTGTCGCGGCGCTCTTGGTGTCCGGGTAGATCAGGCGGAAGCATATGCGTGTCCCGACAGCGGGATCGGGCAGGAGTGATGGTAAGGCCGAGGTGAGGAGCTGGGTTAATTCTCGTAGCGTGCAGGACTGCCAGGTGTAGATCTCSRKGKKCGSSG